CCGCCGTGTACGTTGGATAAGACATTGAAGATGCGGTCATCTTTGCTTGCAATCGGGACGTGTGCAGGAAGTGTTCGAGTGTACTCATGGATGCTGGCGACCGTGTTCTCGCGAATGGTGAGCTCGTCTTCGTTGCTGGATGCTGCCATGCTCAGCGCTCAGCACTGGACCAATGGATGGCTAACAGACTTTTTCGTAATTTCCTACCGCACCTCGGCCAGATTGCGTGGCTGTGCCACACGTGAGGTGATACACCAGACGAGGCGCTGGCGCAAATTCTGGCTTTGTGGGTTCTTTGTCGCTCTCGCCCCCCGGTTTTGCTCCATACAAGTACTAGCTTACGTCTTATACAGAATAATATACTGTATATACACTGTACACAACAGTTTACACCCCCCTCTATACTTACATGGTATATACATAGGGTAGTAAACGTATATATACAGTATATATACTATATGGTTGGAGCCTTATCCGCAGGTACATTGGCGTGCCGCGGTATGCAGTAGTCTGAAGAACAACGATAGAAGAGTTTCCATGCTGTCAAAGGGGAACATGGTCAATTTCTAACTGGACCACCGTTTGAGCCCGTCGCAAACAAACCTCTCAAGCGCCCGTGAACGCGCCCTTTTCCTCGGAGCTATGAAGTTTGCTGCTGCAGGTTCTCGCTTCGATTCAACTGAATCAGGAGCGAGCAGAGCGCCCAATGGACGTCAGCGAGCGCTAGTAGGCACTTGAGCCGCAGACTGCAAGGTGATTCGAAGGTGCGCGCGACTTCGACGTCATCGTCCTTCCCAGGCGTATACGTGCGCGCCGCTGGACTGATCGCGTTTCGGGCTGCCTCAGCCTTAACCGATGTCTCGCATCGGCTTTGATGCATACGCTAGGAGTAGATGGTCGTTTAGCACGTATAAATACCTGGGTGGTTTCTCGTCAGTTCTTCAGCACCTCGTCGCTACCTTACTCTCACAACCAATCTCTTACTCTCGAGCTCACCAGCCAGCCGACCACTCACATCATCACCATGTCTTCCAACAACTACACCGAGCCCAGGTTCGTCCCTATCCTTCACCATGATTTCCCGTCCACTCACCCCTTCTTATAGCAAGACCTCCGGCCAGCTGCACTCCCTCAAAGGCAACGCCGTCGAGACGATCGGCGACGCGACCGGCGCGCAGTCTTGGCGCCGCTCTGGTAAGGAGGAGCACGCGAAGGGCGAGGCCGAGTACAAGGCCGCGCAGGCGCAGGGGTACGCGGAGGGCACCAAGGACCGGGTGGGCGGCTACAAGGACAGCGTTGTGGGTGCTGTGACGGGGGATAAGGGACAGCAGGCTTCTGGTGAGTCCGTTAGATCATGATTTAAAATGGGAAGGTGGGGAGATGTATTGCGAGGCGCTAACGCGATGCGCGACAGGAAATGCGAGGAACGGCAAGGGGCAGGCGCAGCAGGAGGTGAACAAGAGCTCTTGAGGAAGAGGCGGCTGAGTGTGCACGGAAAGGGAAGAAGATGGGGTATAGTCCACTGTATGAGAAGGGTTGAATGAGTTTGCTACGTTGTACATGTATGCGTTTGACGAAGTGCTGTAACCCCTAAGAAAACTCGATCAATTTTGGTTGAAATGACCTAGTGCGAATATGAGTCTAACAGTCGCCTTCAATGAGGAAAAGCATTTGGTCACCCAAGGCCCGAGCACTCTCTGCCCGTGCTCTTCGTCTCGTTCATACGCCTCAGCGCGTTCAGTCTTTCACTTATTCTCGTTAGTATCCATCATATCCTCTCACCTTAACGTCTCTAGCAAAGCGATGAACATGTAACCTTCCTTCAGAGATCTGTCTAGGCGAGGCTAGATCCGCGCGCTAGGCGTCTACAGCCTAAATGCGGTCAGATTGTGGCGATGAGGTGCAGATCAGTGACTCGGAGCGCCTCCGCTTCGAGCACGTTGAGACAAAGCGGACCGTATAGACCGAAGGTTTGGACCATTCGGTATGTGCCCTGGGCTTGGCCGGGACTAAGCTCTGGCCAATGAGCCGGCGCGGGAAGCACATGGCGGCCTAATGAAGCACGCGGCGCCTGTTATCTCGCGCGCACGGATCCAAGATCAACGCGAGTGGGAAGGCGCGCCCTCGAAATGACGGACAAAGCAAGGGTCAAGACAAGAAAAGGAGTGTAAAATGACAATCTGGACGTGCCGCATCAGTGTCTGTCGAGGGTGGAACGGGGGGAAGGGGGAGAGGGGATGATGGCGGTGAGTTTGCTTTTGTTAGCTCGGCTAGCGTGGCTTATTGTCTACTTTCCAAATCAGGCAACTAATCCTCTCGCTATTGCTTGCGCTGACCACAACGATCCCAAGGCCATGGAGAACAAAAGCAGACAACTCTCTGTTTCTCCCCTTCCCTGCTCCTCGAGCTCTAATTTCGTGCACAGTGTCTCACTATCCACCACTCCAAGGCGCTAGTCAGCTTTCTGGTCCAAAAACTTAGCCTAAAGCTAGGTCTGTATCGCCTCATCCGCGTACCGGCTCTGTGAAACCGGCGCCCATGTGCTCACTCCCTCTGCTTTAGGAACATAACCGTCTGCTCCCCAGGCTCACATCTAGTCAGCAATCACGTTCTTCGTCATCCAGCCTATCTTACTCTCGTACATCCTACGCTTTCGTCTGTCTGCAAGCTTTCAAGCGTTCTCGAGCCCCAAGTACTCTCTTACTATCACCAACCGCTTATCACCGTAATCCTGGGTTTCTGGTGACGTTGACTTAGAGTGTTCTGGGATGGATACTACACCGGTGCGCTCTATCCTGCTTTCCTATCTCTCGGGGATCTGATCACAGCTGCTCGCAGACTGGAGGTGCCGCTGACGGCCCTCTGTCTCCAGATGTAAGTGGCACGCGCTAATCCTTCGGTGACTTCATCCTTATCGTCGTCACTTCCAGGCATGGAAACGCGCGGTATACAGGAGCGCCCCAAAGCAGTTCTCGATCGAGTTTCTACCACCAGAGAAGATGGGTGCGTATCATCCTCGTCTTCTCCATCATGCTATTGTGGGGCTGACGCCCGCTCAGGGAGTGCTTTCAGTTACGGCTTCCGGGTATGTCCCATCAAAGATGACGATGTCTCCACGTTCTCCGGATCCTCCAACACCTCGAATGTTGAGTACGATATTTGGAGACGCTGGGAGGACTGCCTGTGGTTCCAGGAGACGCTCGAGATCGAGTACACCCGCATGGCACGAGACAAGCGGAAAGGTCTCGCAGCCGGAAAGGGTGTCAAGAAAGACGGATTCTACGTCCACTCCGACCAGGCTGCGTCATTTGAGTCTCTTCCGCCAGGCCCAGACCCGCAAAGCATCGCGAAAGACATCCACGACCATGTCCCCCGCCTCACGAAGAAGGGCACGCTCTTCCGCGCGACGCAGGTCACGGCCGACGCACGCGCCCGCGAGCTGCACGCCATGATCAGCTCCATGTTCAGCGAAGACCTGCCAACGCTCGTCCGGGAGCTCCGCGCGACGCGGACGTTCACAGACTTCTTCGGCTTCTGGAGACGCGATCACGACCTCGCGAAGAAGACGCAGAAGAAGCTCGGCCTGGACGAGAAGAAGCCCGCCGTTCCGGTGCCAGCGCGCTCCCGGCACTCGATCTCGACCAGCCCGCTCTCGACCATGTTCTCGGCCTCGACGCCGTCCCTTGCGGGCAGCCAGCCGACACCGCCGATGATCGTGAAGGACTTTGCGAACCGCCGTGTCTCGACACAGTCCAATGGTTCGTCTTCATCGGATCAGTCTATCCACACCACGACCCCGCCTACGCCGTCCACAAAATCCCGCCGCAGCCACCACAAATCATCAGAAGACGGCCGCTCCATGCGCTCGCGCACCACCTCGACCGCCACTGCGAGCTCCTCCGGGTCTGGCTCGAGCGGCTCGATTCCTCCCTCGCCCTCCCTCCGCACCCCGCGCGTCGTCGCCCCGCACGACGCCCCCCTCCGCTTCGGACACAACCCATCCGACCTCTCGCTCCCCGTCGCAGACTCCGACCGTCCCCCGCTCGAAAGCCTGCCCGAAGACCGCGAGCTGCCCGTGTCCGCCAAGAGCGCCATCACGGCGCACGGCGTGCCCGAGACGCCCTCCATCCGGAACAGCACCGCAGGGAGGCGCCGCGCGTTTTCGGCGGCGGGAGATCCGCACCGCAATGCGCGGATCTGGAACCCGGAGATGGCCGCGGCGTCGTTGGCCGAGTATCGCAGGAGCGCTCTGCTCGTCGGTGTTCCGGAGGTCGGTCCGGGAGCCGGTGAGCAGCAGGCTGCTGCTGCTGGCGCTCATTCGAGGGCGATGGCGAGGCAGAGTGTGGCGACGATTGCGTCGACGACGTCGTCCCTTGCTGCGAGGTATCTCGCTGATTTGGGAATGGATCTTGCTCTTCCGAGTGAGGACGGCGCGTCGATGTACGATCCGCGTGCGTCGATGTGTACGGTCGACTCGGAGGCGTGGCGCGAGGGTCCGCAGACGGGCGATGCGATTCTTCCAAGGTTGCTTAATGAGGCTGCGATGGAAGGGCCGCAGGGTGCGAACAGCAGGGCGCAGCTCCAGGCGCTCATGCAGGCTGCTGGGCTTCGGCGGTCGTTGTCAAGCGGTGCGGCTGCTGGGAGGAGGCATACGATTAGGCCTGTGTCGGTGTATCCCGAAGAGGAAGAGGCGTGGGATGATTGGGCGGGGAGAGGCGCGGGTGAAGGAGAGGAGGGCGGGGAGGAGTATCTGGATGCGTATTTCGATGGTGAGCCACATTTACCCTACCTAAAAGGACCTGCTAACTTCTGTCATCCCAGACTCCGTCCGTCCGCCCTCGCCCCCGGACAGCAGAGCCTCCACGCCCATGGGGCACTACCGCGCCCCGTCTCCGTCGCCCTCGGGAGAGACTAGCACTGAGACTGAGACCGAGACCGAGACCGACACAGGGACAGAGACAGAGAGCGAGCTCGGGTCGCCCAGACAAGCACGCTATTCGTCGTACCACTACCCGTACATCCCCTCCATCCCGCCCTTCTCCCCGCTCTCGCCGACACCGATCACGCGCCCGCGCGCGTCGTCCATCTCCACGATGCGCTCGTCGTCGTCTGGCGGATCGACGCAGTCTTCCGGCTCGGGGTCGGGGCAGTCGCACCGCTCCGCGCACTCGATGCACTCGATGCAGTCCGCGATGACGTCTGTGAGCGCGCAGACTGCTGCGTCGAACGCGACTGCGATGTCGTTCGCGAGCGCGATGAGCGTGCAGACGGCGCAGACGACACAGAGCGTGCTCGACGGCGCGACGCTCGCGATCAAGGCGACACACGAGGCGACGACGATCGTGCTGCGCGTTCCGCGCGCGCTGCCATACGAGGAGGTGAGGAAGCGCGTGTACGACAAGTTTGTGACGCAGGAGAAGGCGCCTGTTGCGCGGACGTTTGCGATCGCTGTGCTCATGCCGTCTCTGCCCGGCTCCAACGGCAATGGCAGTGGCAGGGAGCGGTCGGCGAGCGTGTCGTCGGGCGGGTCGGCGGAGCGGGAGCGCGCGCAGATGAAGTTTATTAGTTCGGCGGAGGCGTGGGATGGGGCGGTGGCGAGGAGCGGGGGGAAGATGGCGTTGAGGGTGATTGGGAGCGAGGTGTCTTGAGCGCCCGTTGCTCGGGCTGTTGTTGAGCGTCGGTGTGCGGCTCGTTCTTGCATCGTCTCCGCCATTCGGCTGCAGCTCACGAAATGCTCTGGCCTCAACATCGCCTCTCCAGAGACTGTCAATCAACATTTTGGATACCTGTTTCTCTTTCTCTCTTTTGTCTGCGTTCTGGTTTTCTCTCATCGCCGAATGTCCTCTCTTTGGCTCGGTGAACCTAATTTTCTTCGTCTTCTCTTCCTCGTTTCGATACTAGTGTTCGATATCAGACCATCATTTTCTCCTCTTTCTTTGATTTCTGGTTCCCATCTGCCTTTCCATCTCTTCCTTTCGACTTCGACCTTTGACCTCCTTCGGCGTCTTTTCAGGCCTCTTGTGCATCAACGTTCTCAGTCTTCGTATCTTTATGGATAACCTGCTTTTAGTACGCCCCGCGCGGAAACCTTTGTCTGCATCTTTATATCTCATTATCTCTATCTCTATCTCTATCAACATCTTCATCTCTTTCGACCGATCGATTTACGCATCTCTCTTGTTTATAGATAACGTCATTACGGTACTGAACGCACCGAACCCCCTCGATCGTCCCGTTTTTCTCGATGGCTCTTACGACGGCATTACCTTACTGTAGACGACACATTAACTGAGCACCTTTTTGGTGCATCATCGAATGAAACTCATGTTGTACGCTGTTTTATGAGTTGCGTTCGTGATCTTAGTTTTTAAGATACTTGGTCCTCATTTTCGTCGCCTCGTTTGATGAGCAAAACAACATTCTATTGATACATAATGCAGATTGCAAGGCGCAGTTGTAGACCGGCTTGTTAGATAAGTAGGAGGCATGTAAAGCTTCTCGATACACGTTTATGTTCATCAATGACCAAAGATTGTGCGCGGCTTGTACTCTTCCTCGATGTACTTGATCTCTTCTTCCGTGAGCTTCACGTCGAGTCCGACTAGAACCATGTGAGCGACTAATGTGGCTGATGATGTAGCTAGAGCGATACTTACCGATGAAATCGTCCAGGTATTTTACCTTGGTCAGCCCGACAATGGGCGCGGTGACACCTACCTCTGTGCGTTAGCTTGCTGCGTGCTTGATGATGTGAAAGATTCAGGCCTGTTTACGTACCCTCTTTGGACAGCATCCAGGCAATTGAAACCTGGGCCATGGTGATGCCGCGCTTTTTGGCCACTTCTTCCGTGCTGGAAATGTCGCGTTAGCATGAGTTTCGACACGAGGCTCATGGCAGAACGAACCGCTTGATGATAGCATCCGTTCCGGGACCCTCGAAGTATCTCTTGAGCCTGAAGCGGAGAGTGTTGAGTGATACGATGTTTAGCTTAATCAAAGGCAAGTACTTACCAGGCATCCTCACCACGAACCGTGCTTGAGTCGCTTAGGGGTCTCGCGAGCAAACCGCGAGCAAGCGGGGCCCAGGGGATAGACCCAACGCCGAACATCTGGGAGTGACTAGCTAAGCATTGACAACAGTATGTACATGTAGGGATAGAGACTGACCTTGAGAGTCGGGAACATCTCACGTTCTTCTTCCCTGTAAATTGTATTATAGTGGTTTTGCATTGAGATGAACGGTGTGAGCTTGTTCGCGATGGCATAATCTGCGAAACCATGTCAGAGACAGCTCGCAGGAGTTGAGTGCAGATGAGCAGACTTTGCATAGCGTGGACTAGGATCATAACATTAGCATAGTTTAAATCACGACTGTACTGTATCAGCAGGACTTACATTGGTACGCGTGGCAGGAGCTCATGCCGATGTATCGCACCCAGCCGAGTTTGACAATGTCATGAAGTGCTTGCATCTATTTACCGCGCACAAAGTCAGCTATGAAGCGGCTTCAGGAACGGATGTCACTCACCGTCTCTTCGATGGGGGTATCATTGTCAAAGCGATGACCTGTGGCAACGGCGAAAGTCAGCAATCATGCGGGGGACATAGTCCGAATGTCTCATAAAGACAAACATTGGTACAGATCAATGTAATCCACCTGGAGGCGCTTCAGGCTTGCTTGAACAGATGCAAAAATATTCTGGAACGCGATCAGTCATCGAAACTCGTGCTCTCAGAACATGACTTTACCTTGCGGCTCAGACCCCACTGGTTCACACATTCATCGCCAACGTTCACGCCAACGAGGGACTTTCCGAATTCCTTAGCCACGGGTGCAAAGACCTACAGGAATTATCGACCAAGCGTGACTATGATCGAGTCGCTAGCAGTGGGATGTGGCACTTGCCTTGGTCATGATGACAATACGCTCGCGCGGAAGCTGGAGCTCCTTGATCGCATTGCCTAGCATAATCTCTGAGAGACCATTCGAATAGTTCTGCGATTACATATCAACTCTGCCATTGGGATGTAATATACCAAGCTAGGTCGCTTACGTTCGAAGTATCGAACGTCTGTATACCGGCCTCATATCTGTTTCATTGGTGTCAAAACCTGCCTGGCACATTGAAAGTCGGAGTGTAGAAGTGACTCACGCAGCCTTGATGTGTTCAATAGCGACCTCTTGCGGGAGGCAGAACTCTTGCCACTGCTTATGGCCGTACTGCATGCAGCCGAGGATAATCTTAGACACCTTCAAGCCGGAGTTACCGAGGCGTACTGCAACACGGATCTGCGTCAAGGAACAAGTATGGCGATTTGGCAAATCAAACGAACAACGAACCGTAAGGCATCTTGTTCTGGGCCGGCGTCGTAGCCATCGTGACGTCTTCAAATATTGAGCCTAGTGTGAAGAAGAGAAGCGGGTGTCAATGCTAACCACCTCCGTGACCTTATAGGATTTCCAACACGTCCTCTTCATAATCCATAAAGATACGTTGTAAAAGGTATTTGCTAAAACCCAAGCGGAGGTCAGCGGGTTTGCGTAACCGTCGGGCCGGCGCTAGAGCGCATGTCGAGCCGTCGGGTTCAGGAGCGTTCAACGTTCAGGGCCAAACTCCAGCTTGTAGGTAAGTGCCAGCGGAACCCACCTCAATATTAGTTATCACATCAAGGTCTGAGAAGGCGGTTACCTACTACATAACAATATTGAAGGGGCTAGTTTCCCGGAGGCAGACCGAGTTATCAGACCTTTTATCGAATTCCAGGTGAATCTCTGACGACATCTAGCGCCTTCCAGAAACCGACCTCCCTCGGCTACTTCCGACCGACGCCACTTTCCCATTCATCCGGTCCGTAAAGCAGCTAGGTAAAGCTCAAGAGGACGTCGTTATCGGGCATAAGGCCAGGGCTCGGGCAGGTTTATGGATAAAATTTCAGGTACTAATTATACATCAAATCGATTCATGATACTAGCCGGGATTCATAGTTATGCAAGCGTTCATTGGATTAGCTCACTCAATTTGACCAAAGACAGTGCGCGGCTTGTACTCCTCCTCTATGTACTTGATTTCTTCGTCGGTAAGCTTCACGTCGAGACCGGCTGTTAGAATGTCAGCCGTCTTCGTCGCCATAGTCGGAGCATCACTAACCAATGATATCGTCCAAGTATTTCAATTTCGTGGGTCCAACAATGGGTGCAGTCACGCCTAACGCGACGCATCAGCTTGCAGCACACCCGAAGGATGAAAACCGATCTTTTTGCGTACCTTCTTTAGAGAGCGCCCAAGCAATCGCTACCTGAGCCATGCTGATGCCGCGTTTCTGGGCTATCTCTTCCGTGCTGTGTATTGAATGTTAGTATGAACATATGGCAAGGTATGTAAAACAAGACGAACCGCTTGATGATCGTCTCCGTTCCCGGACCCTCATGATATCTCTTGATAGCCCTGGAGCAAAGACCGCTCAGACACCCTGACGCACACTCAGAGTCAAAGACTCACCAGTCAACTTCACCACGAGTGCTCGAGCCACTCAAAGGCCTTGTGAGCAAACCTCGAGCAAGTGGGGACCAAGGGATCGACCCGACGCCGAACATCTAGGACGAGATCAGCGACCCAAAGGTCACATGTAAGAATATCAACCGACCTTGAGAGTCGGGAACATCTCGCGCTCTTCTTCCCTGTACACTGCATTGTAATGGTTTTGCATCGAGATGAATGGAGTGAGCTTGTTGGCGATGGCGTAATCTGCATCCTGTTAGAGAATATCCACGAGAAAGACATGCACATGGAACTGACTTTGCATCGCGTGGACTAAGGAGATCACGTTAACGTTATTTTTTGACACATTTATATAAACTGGACTTACATTGGTACGCAAAGCAGGAACTCATGCCAATGCATCGCACCCAGCCTAGTTTGACGATGTCATGAAGAGCTTGCATCTATACATAGCGCGTAAAATCAGACCTGGGCCGCCATTGGCCATGCACAACACTTACCGTCTCTTCGATAGGAGTGTCTTTGTCAAAGCGATGGCCTGCAGCAGCGATGAAAGTCAGCGCCCATGTACGAGGCAGACGATCACTCAGAAGAAGACGAACACTGGTACAGGTCAATGTAATCCACCTGAAGACGCTTCATGCTTGCTTGGACAGAGTCAAAGATGTGCTGAAATACAGTCAGCCATCGAGACCTCCCTCTCAAACGTTGACGTTACCTTTCGGCTGAGGCCCCACTGGTTAATGAATTCGTCACGGTTTTGCATGCCAACCGCAAACGTTCCGTATTCCTTGGCCACGGGTGCGAAAACCTACAGTAGGTAATAGTTTAATCGCGGCGATTAATACGCTGTTTAAAACTTGGACAGCTCACCTTGGTCATAATGACAATACGTTCGCGGGGAAGTTGCAGCTCCTTAATCGCATTCCCGAGCATAACTTCCGACAGACCGTTCGAGTACACCTGCGCATTCGCGTCAGCTTCGACTCTGTTATTCATTTGAGAGTACCAGTCAGCATCACTTACGTTGGAGGTATCGAACGTCTGTATGCCGGCCTCGTATCTGTATAAATCGGCGTCAATATCTATTTGTCACATAGAATATTCAAAATCAAGGGAATACTTACGCAGCCTTGATGTGCTGGGTGGCTTCCTCCTGCGGGAGACACCAGTCTTGCCATCCTTTGTCGCCGTACTGCATGCAGCCGAGGATGATCTTGGACACCTTCAAGCCGGAGTTACCCAGGCGCACTGTACGCCGTAGACGTTGTTCTTTAATTAGAAAGGAGTAGTTATAAATAAGTCAAAGAGCGAACCGTAAGGCATCTTGGTTTCAGTCTGAGTAGCAGCCATCGGTTCGTTTGTCAGGATTGGGAGGGGTTCGTGGAAGAGAAGCGGGTGCCAATACTGCGACTCTCAGCCAAACCGCCTCTCCTTATATTCGCTATGCAACCAGCTTTCTTCATAATCCACTTCGGAGTGCTGGTGAACGGTATTTGCTAAAAGTCAAGGCAAGGTCAGCACGGTCGCGTAAAGGCTTGAGGACGGCACGTGATACAGTCACGAGATTTTGTCCGAGGAGAAGTAGCGAGCGGTAGTAAAACTCGCGGGGTAAGACGCTTATGAAGCGTGTCTGGCCCAAACGCTACCAGCAAGCACTAGAGCGACTGTTATTTGTTTACAGTTCACGCAGAGGTAAAAAGCGATCGACATCATTTGTACTTCTTGTTATAACGTACTGTACAGTTTGTTGGCGGGTTAGATAGGTATTTGCAGCTTCAGTTTACGGTGGCCTTCATCAGATGTGACCAAACGCAGAACGGGGCTGGTATGCTTCCTCCAGGTACTTGATCTCGTCTTCGGTGAGTTTGACATCCGCACCCGCTAGAGTAAAGGCAAGTCAGCACACCATGCAGCCAAGTCAGCAAACAACTGACCGATGATGTCTTCGAGGTTCTTGAGACTCGTCGTACCTACGATAGGAGCCGTCACGCCTGTGATATACCTTGTCAGTAATGCGCTCTGCAGGAAGCAGCAGGCGAACTGGAGGCTCAGCGCACCTTCTTTGGAGAGCAGCCAAGCAATCCCGACTTGAGCCATGTTTACGCCTTTCTTCTTTGCGATCTCCTCCGTTCTACGCGAATGTAAGTTATGGAGTTCCACGATCGGCGGGAAGGCGACGTACCGGTTGATGATTTCATCTGTCCCGGGTCCGGCGTGGTATGCCTTAATGGCCCTATTCAGCGGTCAGTAATTTATTTACGTGGTAGCACAACGGAAGACACCCTCACCAATCTGTCTCGCCGCGTGTCGTCTTCTGTGCCAGAGGACGACAGAGCAGCCCTCGAGCGAGTGGAGACCATGGAATCGAGCCGACTCCGAACATCTGAGCACAGGTTAAGCAACAAGCGAGAGGAAAGACGCGTGCGCTTTACCTTTAGCGTCGGCATCATCTCGCGCTCTTCCTCTCGATAGACTAGGTTATAGTGGTTTTGCATGGAGATAAAGGGTGTGAGGTTGTTGGCAATAGCGTAGTCTATAAGTTGGTTAACGCTTGAAGACAACGGTTATGAGAAAGCGCTTACTCTGCATGGCGTGGACTAGAGACAGAGAATGGGATCAGTTTTTGTCCGAAACGGGGTCAGGACAAGGCGCACTAACACTGGTACGCCCAGCAGGAGCTGATCCCAATGTAGCGAACATATCCGGCCTTCACAATGTCGTGAAGGGCGTGCATCTGCACCGTGGTCAGCTTTCGTTCCCGGAAACGAGTGACATGCGCACTGACCGTCTCTTCGATAGGAGTGTTGTAGTCGTAACGATGGCCTAGAGTGGAGGTGAGGCTTTATTGGAGCTAATGATCCAAGGCACTGACATTGATAAACGTCGATATAGTCAAGCTGAAGTCGCTTCAAGCTTGCCTTGACAGCATCGAATATGTGCTATGGATGGTGGTATTCGTAACGAACCATGGGTAATAGCCAGGACAAGACACACCTTCCTGCTTAGCCCATGCTGGTTCACGTAGCCATACACGTCGGGGTCCATTCCGATGTTTGTCGCGAGCGCGTTGGCTCCGTCGCGCGTCACCACGGAGTAAAGCTAAAAATCGGATCAGTCTGTAAGGTGAAGGAAAAACGAGAAGATGCGCACCTTAGTCATGACGACGATCTCCTCCCGGGGGAGATTCAACTCTTTGATCGCGTTCCCAAGGATAACTTCGGACTCTCCGTTTGAATAAACCTATGGGTTGTTATTCATGTGGTCATTACGGGGGTAAACTATGAGAAATAACGAGAACGAACATCTGAGGTGTCGAACGTTTGGATGCCTGCCTCGTAGCTGAGTATCCAATGAATACGCAAAAATTAACAGTGCTAGGTGCGCAAACAATGGTCACGTACGCGGCTTTGATGTGAGCGTTAGCTTCCTCCTGTCCGAGGCACCAATCTTGCCACGTCTTCGGCCCGTACTGCATACATCCCAAGATAATCCTGGAAACTTTCAAGCCAGAGTTGCCCAAGCGTACTAGATAGAGAAAGTCAGAATGATCATTAGTCGGTCATCATGAGTTACTAACCGTAAGGAACCTTCTTAGTAGGGGTTGTAGATGTCATGATGTAGAGATAAGAGTCAGAAGAGAGATTGCCGCTTGCAGTTCCAGTGATAACGCTCGCATATATAGTTCAACACGACTGGTATGCGTGATGGAAATTATACAAACATAGGAGCCTATGTAATCCGTTAGATTGACTTCGTGATCATTATTGGCAAACAGAGAATGAGGATGAGGTTCAATAAGCCAAGAAGCTAAGAAGCCTAAGTGACTCACCTGGTTCTCGAAGCCGCAGTGGCTGAAACCATTCTACGCCCAACGTCAACCTGTCAGGGATATCTATATGCATCTTCGCGTGGGTGTGTTGGCATCTGAGGCGGCAAGCGAGGCCCATGCGTTTGGATCCCACGAAACAGTGTGGCTTGTATGGCATAAGAGACGGGGTCCCAGGGTCGCAGAGGTGCAGCTTTAATTACAACTTCGGGCTAATTCTGCTGGGAACATCTCGTCGGGACAAGCCAAAGCTTCCAAAGCAAACCCCACGGCGCGTCTTCAATAAAAGTTGATGACATAATGTTTTCACGCCTCTTCTTCGCCAACCTAACCCAACCACAAGGACAGCTTCTGCACCATTATAACTGCCAAAAAACAATGAAAAAGGATTCTGCAGCAGAACTTACATAGCACCAGATCAAATTGGTCGTACGATATGAGGAGGAAGCAAGGGAGGGAGCACGGTACGTGACGAAGGGTGACTAGTGACGAGTCACTAGTAACGACAATCACAAGGCAGTCACACTGGAATCACTCGCTGAGCGCCGGTCCACAGATAACTTTTGCAAACTTTTCGCCGAGTCCATGGATGTATGTACCCACTCTAATGCTCGAGAAATCCATCATGACTGCTTCTGCCAGCGCAGGGATCGAACACGCTCAACAGGTCTATGCAGGGCCTCTGGTCGACCCATCGCAAAGCCAAGTTAAACATCAACTCAACCCCTGATGCACCCTCACCCATCCCAACACCGCCTGCATCCTCGTCGCGTCCGTTGACGGTCGAAGAAGCTCACGATGAGTCATCATCACGCTCTCAACTTGCGCCTTCGGATTCGACGAAGCCACCATCGACGAAGCGCAAGATACGCTCGATTCGAACAGAGGATGCAAAGCGCGCCAAGGTTGCTGCTACCAACCATGAACCACCATCAGCTCGTCTGAGCGACCTGGGCGGAGTAGACGCCTCTGTGGAGAAGATGCTTGAGCTAGTCGCGATGCCTCTCTGTCATCCGGAGATCTACATGCATACCGGCGTCCAGCCGCCTCGTGGCGTTTTATTGCATGGGCCTCCGGGTTGCGGGAAGACGCTGCTAGCAAACGCCATTGCGGGTGTACGTGGTCAATTTTTTTTATTTCTTGTCATCGTTCTGACGCGTGCACAGGAACTAGGCATCCCGTTCATCAGCATATCGGCTCCTTCTATCGTGTCGGGCATGTCAGGCGAGTCAGAGAAGACGTTAAGAGATACCTTCGATGAGGCAAAGGTACGTGTTTAACCCAATATTCTTCATTCAAACTCCCAACCAGCAATCATCAGCGGTGTGCACCCTGCCTTTTATTCATAGATGAAATAGATGCGGTTACTCCGAAGAGAGAAAGCGCTCAACGTGAGATGGAGCGTCGTATTGTCGCGCAGTTTCTCACTTGTATGGATGGTGAGTTTGGGTCATCATATTTTGTCTGCCCCTTACTGAAACACATGGTAGACTTGTCTTGGGACAAGACCGAAAACAAGCCTGTCGTAGTCATTGGGGCGACGAACAGACCGGACGCGCTGGATGCGGCTTTACGACGCGCAGGTCGCTTTGACCATGAGATCGCTATGGGAGTACCTGATGAGACCTCCCGCGAAAGGTGAGTTTCCACATCGTCCTCTTACTCACTCGCGGATCTCATAGTCGCTTTCCTCTAGAATTTTGAGAGTGCAATGTTCCAAGCTTCGACTGAGCGGTTCCTTCGACTATGCTGCCTTGGCTCGCGCGACACCTGGCTACGTTGGTGCGGACCTCGCATCACTCACGGGGGCTGCTGGAGTCATAGCCGTGAAACGCATCTTCCGCGAGCTCGCCGAGCTGGAAGCAGCGAATGGCGTCGTCGCCGAGCTTCCAGCAAGGAGTGTAGATACAAACGAAGGAATGGTCGTCGACTCAGAAACCTCAACCGCCGCTGCTTCAGCCTTACCTCCATCCGACCTTCTCGCAAGTTCTTCCGACGACCTCGCCCTCGATGCACCCTTCGCTAACCTCGTGGCCATTCTCCCGCCCCTCCCCCGAACAATCGCCCACTTCCTCGCTTCCCACCCTGGCCCACTCTCCGAATCCCAGCTCGAGCCCTTGCAGCTCACACAAGCCGACTTCACCGCTGCTCTGCGCACAGTGCAGCCCTCTTCGACGCGCGAAGGGTTCAGCACTGCGCCAGCGGTGACGTGGTCCTCGATTGGCTCACTCCATGCGACGCGCGAGGAGCTCGGCATGGCAATTGTACAGCCTATCCGGAGGCCTGAGGTGTTTCGCCAGGTGGGTATTAGAGGCGGTTGCGGGGTGCTCATGTGGGGGCCGCCCGGGTGCGGGAAGACGTTGTTGGCTAGGGCGGTTGCCGGGGAGAGTAAGGCGAACTTCATTAGTGTGAAGGGGCCGGAGGTGCTCAATAAGGTGTGTCTTGTATGCTTGCAGATACTAAGCCGTCACTGACAATGAACAACGATATGTAGTACGTTGGAGAGAGCGAGCGCGCTGTGCGCCAGATCTTTGCTCGCGCTCGAGCTTCGGCTCCGTGTATTGTCTTCTTCGACGAGCTTGACGCCCTCGTCCCGCGTCGCGACGACAGCCTCGTGAGCTCACCTCTGTGCTCGCCGTACTTGTACTAATTTCATACGCACGTAGTCCGAATCGTCCGCCCGTGTCGTCAACACCCTCCTCACTGAACTCGACGGGCTTGATACATCCCGTTCAGCGACCTCCGCGCCCGTGTATGTCATCGGCGCTACAAACCGACCTGACATGATTGATCCCGCGATGGTGCGTCCGGGCCGGCTCGACAAGCTGCTGTATGTCGACCTGCCGGACCGCGACGGCCGCGCGGAGGTGCTGCGCGCGCTTGTGCTAAGTTCGTCCGTCCCGCTCTCAAGCTCAGATGGCACAAATGAAGGCATAGAGAAGAGTCTGACGGAGATCGAAGCACTCGTGCAAGACCGATGCGACGGCTTCTCTGGCGCGGACATTGCTGCGCTTGTGCGCGAGGCGGGTGTTGTAGCCCTCCGCCGCATGCTAGGCCGGATCGAGATGGACGAGGCGCGCGATGCTGTCCTATCTGAGGCTCGGGCTCAAGCTCAGAAGGAGGGTGGGCAGGATCAGGATCAGGAACTGAAGGTACGAGTGACGCCGGACGACTTCCGCGCTGCGCTGTCCAAGGTGTCACCAAGCGTGTCCGTTGCGCAGAGGCGCAAGTACGAGGCTTTGCGCGCTAAGTTTGCGGGGCTGCCTGTGAGGGGGTCGAAGAGGGAGCAGCAGGTTGAGGAAGAGGTTGAGAAGGAGGCGGCAGTGGCGAGTGGGCAAGAGGGGGTGGGCAGTGCTGCGATAGCTTCGTAGATGGTCTATTTGTAAAGTATCTGCAAGCATATAAAAGGTCTTGTCTAAAGGCCCCATGGACTACGAATCCAGAGCATCTAACATCTGGTGGACTCCGTCGCAGCGGAAGAACGCTGTATTCATATATATACCGACTCTACCAGCGTCAATTCATGGAGACTCCGAACCATCCAAGTCCCGCAGAACTCTCTTCCTGCTGTGCACCGCATGAAAGTCGTCAGATAGACAAACCTCGAACATACCAGCGGCTGTCAAACTGGCAGTTTTGGGTTCTTCTACGTCCCCAAACTCGTATAGAAGATGCGGCTCTTTCTTGGAGAGCCACATCATCTCGAGCATGCCAACGCTGTCAATTGTGGGATTGTTGTCTCCCCGCAAGCCTACCAGATGTAGAGCAATAAGGAGCATAATCAGAGAGGCAGAGGCTGCAAAGAGAAGCTTTGATCGAGACCTCGAGGTTAGCTTGCGCTCTTCGGACATAGTATGGCATCCGAGCAAAATCAATCACAGGCGTCAAGTTAATCTGGATGGGCGAAAGAGAACTCAACATGAGTATGCGGCAAGCGTGGATACAAAATAAATACACGAACATTAAGCCTCCAGCTAAGGACGAACTGTGTAGCATCTACCATCCTCGTTTGAGGCTCAATCCCTCCTTGAGTAAGTTGAGCAGCTGGCATTTAAAACGCGTCAGCCGTGTTTCTCTTGTCAAGCGGTACTACGTCAAAATCTTCATTGTCGCAGCCATCCTACGAGGAGGTTCCGTTGGCATTTGCTGAGATACAGTACCACTGCGCGCGCTTAAGGCTAGCGCTCATCATCCAGGTTAAGGGAACGTGACTCGACGATAGATAGTAAAGCGGGAGACCGCACACCCAAGCTTTATTATATCAGCGTGATGCGGCGCGTAGCATACGGCATTGAAAAATTCCGGCATTATGAAATCATGATGAATTAGACGAGAACATTCTAATGGCCTCATGTCCGGCCCAAAAGCAGTACTCTTGTGTTGTGCCTACCACAGATTACGATCAATGCTAATCAACAAACTGAGAACTAGACCGCATGACATAGCCTTAAGTCCTTATATCAAAGACTCTTTGGATGAACAGTACAGCCCGGTGAATCACGATGCGTGATGAATCATGGCTATAGACTAACGGCAAGTCTGCGCTTCTGGCCACGCTGCCCACGATGGCTGATCATCTTGCCACAGCCAGGCTGAGCCTCGGTCTCGCTGCTGCCATATATTTATGGCTCGTATCTCGGGCCTCCAGCGGTTGATGGATATTTGAACTAAGAAATCACGCGAGGTATATTTGGCGCATAGAATTTCAGACCTATTGAATCTGATCTCAGTCGCATCAACGTCGACGAAAACAAGTACTGACTGAAGCACTGACACTACAGGCAAATGCGCTAATTCTGTGCCCGAGAATAAGCAGGAAAATGACCTGGAAAGTAAACATCTTCCTACAGATTTTCGGGCTAGGAATAAGCACGCGGAAAGTTATCATTTTCTGGTGCACAAAGAGGCCCAAAAAGGCAGGTTGAAGCAGGAGTTGAATCTCCGCCAGCGCTTAATGTTTATAAATGGAAGGTAAGCTTGTTTTTGTCGCCTGAAAATTCACTGGAACATGAAACTTTTTCGGCCTCTATTGGTCAAAGGGAAATATGGAGGAAAATATTTACTTTCCAGTGCATTTTCCTCCTTATTTTCGGGTCCAGAATTATCGCATTTGCCTGTAGTGCGACAGTTGAGGGTTATTGGGGCCTTTTGCAGCACATCAACTTCATCAAAATCGTCCTCTTTTTTCAGTTGACAAAATTACACTCTTAGCTTTATCTCCCTCGGCTCGTCCTACGGACCGAGTCAGAGACATAATGGATGGCCCTACTATCTTGTCGTTAGATTCAAGACACATATATTGTGACGAGATATCTGTTCAGTGCAATCCGTGCCGGCATTACAAAATCTTGCAAATGACGACTTTCTTTGAAGAAGAACCAAGTTGAGAAACTTTTTGAAGATAGCAGAAAAAAATGTTGAGGAGCTGCCGAGAAGTATAAGAAAAGTCGGCTTTGGATGAACATTCGCACGCATATGGAAGTCGTAATTTCGGTCTATAGCCGCAGATGCAGATATGATAAGATGTCGGCTATGCCGTTTTTGGCGCGTAAATACGGAGGCAACGATGACCTTAGACCTTCGACTCAACTCTCGACTTCATGGTCTCATCTTCTCCTCGCTCCCCTCCACATCGCAGAGAACATGTCATCTGCACTTGAAGCCAAACTCGAGGATGCCCTCAAGTCTCGAGACGAGCGCAACATCCGCCGCCGTCTCCCACACCAGATCGCCGTGTCATCCTCCGCAAACCTCGCATCGGACCAGCTCACCGACTTCAGCTCAAACGACTACCTCTCGTTCACCACTCTCCCCCGACTGCGCGATCTGTTTCTCGAAAAGCTGCATGCAGCACCCGAAATCCTCGGCTCGGGTGGCTCACGCTTGCTCGTTCCCGCACGACCACACGCTGCGCTCGAGACGCGCCTGGCCGCCTTCCTCAAAGCACCCGCGGCACTGCTGTTTAATTCGGGGTTCGACGCCAATGTCGGGTTCTTCGCGAGCGTGCCTCAGGAGGGCGACGTAATTGTGTACGACGAGATGATCCACGCGAGTGTGCACGACGGTATGCGGGCGTCGCGTGCGCACGCGGCACTCTTCTCGTTCGAGCACAATTCGGTCAAGGCACTCGAGCGAACACTCAGGCGACTTGTACGCGATCGTGCAGATGTTGAGGCGGGAGGTGCATCCGTTTTCGTCGCTGTGGAGAGCCTGTACAGCATGGATGGGACGTTCGCGCCCCTGAGGGAGATGGTGGAGGTCGTCGAGACGATGCTACCGAGAGGGAACGGGCATATTGTGGTCGATGAGGCACACTGCACTGGCGTGTACGGACCAAGGGGAAGAGGGCGAGTCGTCGAGCTGGGGCTCGAGAAGAAGGTGCTAGCAAGACTACACACGTTCGGGAAAGCATTAGGAGGGAATGGTGGTGCGTTTGTCCTTCACCACGTCATCTGCCCTTGCTGACACAGTTTTCCTGAGCGTAGCTGCACTGCTCACAACTGTACTCATACGGGACTACCTCCTCAACTACGCACGCTCACTCATCTACACAACCTCTCTGACGAATGCCAATGTGATCGCAGTCGACTGTTCGTTTGATCTAATGGAGGATGGGACAGCCAGCAAGGTGTGTCATTCGGCGCAATGGCCCTTGTGGGTCGGGGGGTTGTACTAACATGGTCTCATAGCTTGCCTCCCACCTACTCGACATGTCAACCCACTTCGTAGAATCCCTGCGCCCCCACCTCGCCTCGATACCCTCAAAACTCCTCTCCCTCCCACCTCATATCCTCTCACCCTCCCCCGGAACTCCGCCCTCGCCCATCATCCCCCTGCACACCTGCTCTCCGCGACCTTTATCTGCATATCTCGCATCCCGCAACCTCGCTGCCCGAGCGATCACCTGGCCGACTGTACCGAAAGGTAAAGATCGCGTGCGGATATGCCTGCATGCGGGCCATAAGCGGGAGGATGTAGATCGGCTTGTCTCCGCCATCCTCGCTTGGACGGACGAACAAGTGACCATGCGGAGGATCCAGAAGGAAAGGGAGCTCGAGGAGTGGCGGGGGGTGAGTACGTGGATGGAGGCTAAGTTATGATTAATTGCATTTGAAGAGTGGTTGGAGGGATACAGGTTAGATGGGGTGATGATCGCTGGACGCGCCCGTCAAATGTAGGTTTGCGAAGTGTACAGTGCATTGCTGTAAAAACAGAGCTGTGCTGTTTTCGTTCGCGGGGGATCAGTCTTGCAAAGCATTGATCTCTTTTGTACTTTGAGTTAGGTAATCGTCGTAGGAGTCCCGATAGTTGGCTGGAGCACGCATTAGCGATGTGAACAGGACCCTGGGTTAGAAAGGCAGACACACCAGGAGTATTCGCGCGCGCCCGGAACCTTGCTACTACCTCCCTATTATGCTGGATCGCGGAGAGTTGGGCATGTTTGATGGTGCCTACGGCGTTCGAGCCAGGTTAGCACGCGAGAAACGACACGTTGGATGGCTATATGCGCACCAGATACGTGAACAACGTTTGGTATGAACCGTTGTCCAGCCACATTTGTGAGCAACGTCGTCGCGCCCCATGCAAGCTGATGATGATCTCTCGCGACACGGATGATGCATATACCCGTCGTTGGGGAGTAGTACTTCACTGTCCAAGTCCCAATGATATGAGTATGTTTCTCCGCGACCGGCGAACGGCCAGGGCCCAACCAAGGAGGAAGGAGTGTGCTCACCAGTCAACGACATACCCACAGCTCCCCATCCCGTGTCGCCAAAGTTGGAGATGACGCTCTGCTTGAGCGCCGCGAAGATCTGGCGGCTATCGAGGTTTGATTGTGTCTTTGGCTTCTGAAGCTGAGGTTGCGGGTTATGGTAAGACGCCGGGTCGTCCGGGGTACATGAGATGAACTCGACGAGGAGCCATCTGTTCTGGGTCTATTAGACGCATGCGGGTGTTTGAAGGCGTGTATGGGAGGTACCTTGAATCTGACCATCGACGGTTTGGGGACGTTGTATTGGAGGAGGGGCTTCGGGTGTTGCCGAGGTGTTGAAGACTGACGGGCGTCGCTGTCAGTGTCACCGGCGACGTTGAACTCGTCCTTCGCCGTTAACAACCAAATGCGTAAACGCTATCGACCAAAACAGAATCCAACGGTTCCTACCTCATACTTCAAGTAGATGAACGGAGAGAGAAGCTTGGTGTGGATAAAACCCCTGAGCGTTATACACGCGCTCGTCATTTAGCGATGGGCACGGGGGCAACATTGTATACAACACGGTACTTGTTGCCAAACTCTTTCAGTACACTTTGCATCCAGTCATCACTGTCATCGCCTCTGCTTCTCCAGGATGTTTAGGATACGACGTCGAAGATTCTTGCAGCTCGCATTCGCAGCCGCCACTTTTCTCTTGTGCTACTGTCTCTTCAAGTCAGGCGGCGACTCGGACACGTCTGCGCAACCCTCAGCGGAGATCTCAAGTGGAAGCTTCTCCACTCAGAGCGCAGAGGTAGTCATCGGGACGTTTGACGTCTCGCACGAGGAGGACGTTACGCGGTATAGTCCTGGAGGATACCATCCGGTGACCATTGGCGATGCCTTCAAGGATGGACGATATGTCGTCAGACGGAAGATTGGGTATGGGGAGTACTCCACGGTCTGGTTGACGGAGGACATACAGTGCGTGGTATGATATCTGTCTTCCTTTCGCATAACTAAGCGTCTCGCGCATGTATGTAGGAAGAAGCAATTCGTCGCACTCAAGATCCTCGCGGCCAACAGCTCTGCTGGCGGCATCGACGAAGTGGAGGAGGTCGAGATCCTGCTGCACACCACCAAAGCCAACCCCTCTCACCCAGGGTACAAGCATGTGATCAGTATACTCGACCACTTCGATCATGTCGGCGTCCATGGCACGCATATATGCTTAGTGTTCGAGCTCTTGGGTCGTGGGGGATACTCCCTCCTTCGCCATTATAACGAACAGCTTCCACTACCGATGGTCAAGAGGTTCCTGCAGCAGTTCTTCCTGGGGTTGGATTATTTGCATACTCAGGCCAGGATTGTGCATACGGGTGCGTTGCGTCTTCTCCGGGTGGTTCGTTGAGTAGATGTTCATCCGCTTGTTTCTTCCCCGTCAGACCTGAAACTAGATAACATATTACTTATGTTGGATGACCCATACGAGACCATCAAAAACGACCTCCGCGCGAACCCACCCATTTCCGCCCCTCCTCAGGGTAGCCAAGGACCGCCGCACACCCCTTATCGTGTGTACAAGTCCCAGCCTCTTCCTGTTTTCGAACCGCCTGGCAACGCAATCAACGTGAAGATAGTGGACCTTGGCGTCGGTAAGTCTTTGCGGCCCCTGCTCTATCCTATCCGTGCCGTACTCATGCAACGTAGCCAACTGGGTAGACAAGCACATGCGGAGCCTCATCACGAGCCCCATCCTCCGCGCTCCCGAGGTCGTGCTCGGGGCGCCGTGGGACACCAGCGCGGACATCTGGAGCGCGGCGTGTATTGTGCGCCCGATTCCATCCCCTCTGACGTACGAGGCGGTGAGCTTGCTGATACGCTTGTTAGGTGTATCGCCTTCTGATGGGTGACGAACTGTTCAACCCCTTTGCGCGCCCTGACGCCTCGTGGACGGAGGAGGAGGAGCACATCGCACAGATGATTGAGCTCCTGGGCCGAGTCCCCTCGTCTCTCATTGAACGCGGCAAGTACGCACACAAGTACCTCGAAGCCGACGGTAAGTTTGCCCTTTTTCTTTGATCCTCGGTTCAGTTTCGTGGGGTGAAGTTTTCTTCAAAGTTCACTTCGATGTGAGCCCAGAGCAACCGAACATGTCCATACTACGTCCGACGGAGGGCTGATGATCAAACTGAGCTTACGCTGATTTGTCCTCAGGGATGTTATGGAAGATTGCAGGCATCGAGCCCCACTCCAGATCGCTTCGCGCGATGATAGCTGAGCGGCATGGCGATGAGGTGGCCGACCAAAGTTACGACTTGTTAAGCCTGATGTTCCGTTATGAACCCTACGAACGCTCCACCGCTGCTCAGCTCGCACAACATCCGTGGCTGAGGCCATGATCGGAACGCTTGGAGTTTCTCTTCTTATTTCCTCGACGTCGGTTAGTGGCTTTCATCTTCTTTTTTCTTCGACCGCGTTGACCGATACCCCACAACAACCTCATGAAGTTCATCTACGACAATGTCCGCATCTGCTCTCGCGACACCATGGCTGGCGAAAATACCACTTTTACATAATAGTTGCTTTTCTTGCGTGCTCCTCGTTGACGAGTGACGTCATTGGCAACATTGGCTAATGTTGGTTGTGCGCAGCTTTGCTCCCGCATGTTTCTTAAATTTGATACGCATCAGACACTGTCGACCATCACAAATTGGGATATCAAGTCTGTCAGAGGAGACCACAGACCACTGTCAAACCTGAAACACTGCTGTACTTTTTCATGACAGGAATAGCCGTGCCGGCAGGACGTACAGCATAACCTGACAACCCCGGCTGTAGATGCGGCTGTGATCATATTATTGGTCGTGTGCCCGTGAAATCAGAGCCGCTCTTTGTTGTTCTAAATGGATACCGGCACTCTCTCGCAAGGCACCAATTGATCAAACTATCTTATTATTACACCTCCCCAGATGCGTGCTTTGTGGGGTTGGCTCTTGGAATGATCGACGGTTGCCGTCATGGCCGAGCAAGACCGAGCTAAAGCCGGCGGCAGAGGGACTTTTGGGCGCTGAACTTTGCGTTCAATGCGGCAACATTATTTGATTCTTTGATCGCTACTTTTTTATCGTGTGCTCCTCCGTTGTTGACTTCCTCAGCTTCACATTGTACCACGAAGGAGGGAAATTGCGCAAGCTAGTTGAGCAACCCCTCGTAATCAACGGTTTTCTAGGCGAGTGCATATATTATATGATTTTTTCCACAATGAACGCCCTCAACCGTTACTCAATAACCTCATTCATGTAGTTTTGCTATCACTGACGGCTTGCATCAATGCATCGAATTTCGTCCCCAAATCAGCAGACGCTAAGACCTTATAGGCCACAACTGTGGTCCCACGCCGGTATCGGTCAGCACAAAACGAGTGCAACGCGCCCCGGGTGCTGCATGTTCTCGGCGCATGTCCGATGATGACTCCAATGATGGAAAAGTCTCGCCGACAACAAACTGATGGCGTGAAATTAGCTCCCATTTCATCGTATTCTTCACATTGGAAATTTCGGCTGCTGACCATCGTTTCTGACAGGCGCGGTTGTTAAGAAATATAGTGCTGAGCAAGACGACATCGGAGTGAGGTTGAATTCTGTCGGGATTCCCTCATAGAACCGCCGGCTCCGTACCAATCAAATCGCCTAAGTCCATGAACACGGTCTTCCGATGACTCTCTCAATCGCGCTCATAATCATAGCTTATAAAGATTTAGGCCTCGATTACTCAGTCGGCCCTCATTGCGAGCACCAGGATCTCAGGGTCGCCCACAAGCTGATAAGTGGTCGTGTGCCAGAAATACATCAGCATAGTCGCAAAGGTTCCGCGCTGTCACGCTCAATGTCAAATTTGACAAACCCCTATCCGAGGCGAACCGCGGCGAATGCGAAGGGGGTGGATCTTCATCCTAACCATGGATGCACAAGGATGACATGAGGCCCCTTCGAGGTAACTCTCAACGCTTATGTGAGTTATTTCTCCACGGTTTATCTGTGGTACTTCCGCGCACCTCAGAGGCAGTCGACAGGTGATAGTATCGTTTCAAATTCAGTATGTCTGAAAGGTTGCAACCTGTTGCAACCGCGCCCTCTTCTTCCGAATCAAACTTTGAGGCACTTTGCAGCCCCAAGATCGGCAACTGGACGCTCGCTTAACACCCGCCCATGATGCGAGCACAGCTCCAACTTGCGACAAACAGTAACCGGAGCTGGACGGGGTTCATGGCACCATGTTGGATTCACTGCACGCCAATACGGTGGACATGAACAAACCAAAGAAGGCCAAGGGTGCACCCCCGCTGTGTCCGCCTTCGACTCTAGCGGGGGCTGGAAAGCATATAAATACCGGCCACTTCACTCTTGGATTTCTTCAGACCACCGCTTCCAGTCGTTTGTCTACCAGTCGCCTCTCTCATCTCAATCAAATTTCTCATCTTTCAACATGATGTTCAACAAGCTCTCCATGCTCGCCGTTGCCGCGGTCATCTCCGCCTCGGTTGCTGCTCCCGTTGTAAGTCTAGCTTTGAGTTCACTCGACTAGGACCACTAAACTGACTTTATCGCCTTCTTCTCCAGCCTGAGCCCGTCACCGTCCGCGCTCCCGTCACCGTTCGCAGCCCAGTTACCGTTCGCTCCCCGGTCACTGTTCGCAGCCCAGTCACCGTCCGTGCTCCCGTTACGGTTCGCAGCCCCGTCACCGTGCGCTCCCCCAAGCCCGTGACCGTCCGCGCCCCGGTCACTGTCCGCTCCCCGGTTACAGTCCGTAGCCCCGTCACTGTTCGCTCTCCGGTGACGGTTCGCTCTCCTGTTACCGTGCGCTCCCCGGTTACGGTTCGCTCGCCCGTCACCGTGCGTAGCCCCGTCACCGTGCGCCGCCGCGCTCCCGTCACTGTTCGCTCTCCCGTGACGGTTCGCTCCCCGGTGACTGTCCGCCGCCGCGCCCCCGTCACTGTGCGCTCCCCGGTGACTGTTCGCTCTCCCGTCACTGTTCGCCGCCGTGCGCCTGTGACCGTGCGCTCGCCCGTCACTGTGCGCTCCCCGGTGACCGTCCGCCGCCGCGCCCCCGTCACCGTTCGCTCCCCGGTGACTGTTCGCAGCCCCGTTACTGTGCGCAGCCCAGTGACCGTCCGCTCGCCCGTCACCGTTCGCTCCCCTGTGACCGTCCGCCGCCGTGCTCCCGTCACTGTCCGCAGCCCGGTTACCGTCCGCTCCCCAGTGACCGTTCGCTCGCCCGTCACTGTCCGCCGCCGTGCCCCTGTGACTGTTCGCAGCCCCGTCACGGTTCGCAGCCCCGTCACCGTCCGCCGTCGTGCCCCGGTCACCGTGCGCTCGCCTGTTACCGTCCGCAGCCCGGTTACTGTGCGCTCCCCTGTGACTGTTCGCTCGCCCGTCACCGTCCGCAGCCCTGTCACTGTCCGCCGTCGCGCCCCGGTCACCGTGCGCTCGCCCGTGACTGTGCGCTCGCCGGTTACTGTTCGTCGCCGTGCTCCTGTCACTGTCCGTAGCCCGGTCACTGTTCGCGCGCCCGTTACCGTGCGCAGCCCCGTCACCGTCCGCTCTCCTGTCACCGTCCGCTCGCCCGTTACTGTGCGCAGCCCGGTCACCGTCCGTGCTCCCGTCACTGTCCGTGCCGTCGAGCTCGACTAAATGGTTCACAACGGGTAGCACGCCCTTGGAGTCATCAAACGACTGGAAGTAACGAAAGATGTGGTCCATTTTGATAAGCTAATCGTCTATAAATCAATATTCGTATTTTATATAAATGCTTTTATTCTTGCTCTATCACGTAGCACCAGTAGCATCCAAGAACATGGAATACTAGCAAACATTTTCGATTCTTTTTAGTGTGATATGAGGTACTGGTCAAAGTGTTTACTGTTGTCATATCCTCAGACGCAATTTTATGTGAGTGTATACTCGGTTTCAGCTCTGTGATCGAGCTGCTATATGACCCGGTGGATACACTAAGTCATGAATGTGGAACGTTTGCAGATACTTAAAATCACTTCACCTTAGACTTACTGCCATATTTTTACTGTTGAAGGAAAATACATTCGCATTATCGACAGGGTCATGGCGTGGCTGATCCTAGACTGCCGCATGTTCATTGCTCGCCTAGAGGTTTGGATTTCGAAACAATTATACATTGTACTTGGGCACCGCCGCTGCCACTGCATGCTCATAGATATTTCCGAGCAATCAATTGGCGCGCGATTCTCCCACTTTGTTGGTATGCCTTCGATCCATTGAGCTCGAAACAGCGCTCATCATAGTGCTCACCGGCCTCGAAACTTACATTGTCTAGCACAACTCCGACGGCTCCAACATGTCAAACAAGTGGCTCGTTTGACCCGCTGTGTCGTCAGTTTCTCAAAGGGTTATATATTTATTCTGTTTTTGAGTCAAAGGGATTTGTCGTTGAAGTCGAACATGACAAGCGTGCGAAATTGTTATGATTGACTCCGTGACGCGAGACGCGCAAGAGCCTGCCCTGATGTGAATCACGTGAGTTTGTTATCCGGAAGAGACGATGCGTCACGGCAAGAACAAAGTTATGAGAACAGGCTAAGCTCGAAATGAGACGAGGCAACAAATCTCACAAGGTACGAGTTATATGTTTTTATGCACAGAATAGATGACTAAAGGCTAGCACAGGTACCCAATGTCAAACTTCGTCCAGCCCAACCAGCACCAAAACATGCCACTGCGCGACCAGGACCTGACATGGAGCCAAGCTCAGACACAGAGTTCTCTGCTCCGGCAGCAAGCATGGTCGACCTATGTCCTCGACCCTTCACAGGATTTACACTTTGCGCGACTGGGAACATGGACAAGGCCACCGTCTTCAAGCAGGCATTCGAGCTTGGCGCGTCGTCCACGCCCGACTTCACCGACCGCGTTACGCATCTTATCGCTAGTTCACATGGAGGGGCCAAGTATACCTGTGCGCTCGAGCGAAAAATACCCATCATGTCGCCGGAGTGGATAGCAGAGGCCCATGCGATATGGTTGCGCGGAGACGACGTCGACGTCGAGCAGGTGCGCACCTGGTTCTCATTTGGCCATGTCCCAGTCTAACACGCTTTGATACCATCTAGGTAACACGAGGACACCGGCTACCTGTTTTCTCTGACTGTGTAGTATGCGTAACTGGCATCGACGATATCTCAAGACGCACGGAAATCAACGCACTCGTCACCCGGTGCGGAGGCACCTACGTCAAAGCCATCGAACGACCCGTACGCGTCACTCATCTTCTCTGCGGAGACGATTTCAACGACGGTGAGGAAGGTGGTCGGGGAGACGATGGTAGGACGGATAAGATGCGGTATGCCGAGAAGTTCAATTTGCGGGGCGAGGCGAACATTCACATTATCTGGGAGGAGTGGGTATGGGATTGCGTGGAGTTCGGAGGTGAGTTCCCTCTACATCCCGTGCTGTATCTTGTCTAGGCTTGCATCTGGCACTGCCTGTGTCTGCCCATTCTCCGCCGTTCACTCCCATTTTTCTATGACGACGCGTCCACATCTCGCCCTTTCAGGCTGTCAACAATCATGCTCACCTCTCAACTCAAGGTAGATTTGATGAACGACGTTACTCCGTAAGCCGGACAGCGAAACCCAAAGAACGAAGAACATGCGAAGGTGCGTTTCCAAAACCTTAACCATAATGTCTCAGCTCATATTCCTCAGAACCCACCATGTCGTACCCTGTCGAGGACACAGCCCCTCCAGGGACGAACCCCACCGCAGGAGGTGCTTCATCCCGCCACGGCTCTCGCACTATCAGCCGCCAACCCACGCGCCGAATCAGTGGTGAAGGTGTGACCACTGCTAACAGCAAGCATAGCAACGGTGCGGATGAAGAGGAAGATGAGCCAGCCTCGAAACGCGAACCGTCCCACCCAGCCGCGCGCCTGCAGCTCTGGGAACAGCTCCTCAAGCCACGCGGCTTCGTCATGGACGGCGGGCAACTCATCAAGTCCCCCGAGCGGTCCCAGCCCTCTCGGCGCGCCATCGACGGCCAGGACCCTCCTGCGAGCGACGAGGACATGCCGTCTACGCTCTCTAAGCCCGCGAAGAAGCGCCCGGTCCAGCGACGCGCGACGCTGCGCGAGCCTGTGCAGTCGAAGGACGCGCATGGGGCCACTAGTGTGCTTGCGGGTCTGCGCCGTGCAGATTCGTTTGCGCCAGAGTCGGCGGGAGGTGCGCCGGGTGCGGCGAGGAGGATGCCATTTGGGCGGGCGGCGACCGTCACTTCGGTGGCGGGTGATCGACCGGGTCCCGCAGATGCGGAGGGAAGCAGGATGGCTGAGGGACGGATGGAGCTGGACGAACGGCCTGGAGTTATTGTTGAGGAGCCTGAGCCGGTGGAAGGTGGGGGTGGAGGAGGTGCCCCGAAGGCGTTGTTTGTAGGTCGCAGGTTCCGTCTTCTGGGCGAGGCATCGACGCCTGCTGTTCGAAGCGCTATTCAGAGCCACGGAGGCGTCGTGTTGGAGGACAAACGCGTCGAGGTGGACTATATTGTTGTTCGGTTGACGAGGTACGTCGTCCACTGTCTAGCATGCGACCTCTGGATTGACCTTGTTCAGCGGCAAGAAACTCTACGATTTGGCCCCGCCATCGCTTCGACACAAGTTTCGCACGGAATGCTGGCTCGAGCACTCGGTTTTTCTAGAAAGGATATGCGAACCTCATGAGAACTTATCCTTTCAACCGATTCAGGTTGAATGTCCAGTCAAAGGTACGCGTGCATCTCCATATATTACAATATGATATCATTGATCATGAGATACAATTTCTCAGGCTCGGAGTCGGTCGACGTGAGTTTATCAGGTCTTGACCAGGCCGAGCTCTGCTGGGTTCGCCGATTAATGCGGGTTCTGGGTACGTATAGTGCCTTGTCCTGCCGGGAGCGTCTTTGGTTGATGGCCTTTTCCATTTGTTTCAGGTATCTCGCTAGGTCAGACTTTCTCCAGACGGACAACACATCTCGTCTGCCCTAGTGCAAACGGAGCGAAATACGATAAAGCGCTGGAGTGGAATATACCTGTCGTCAACCTCTCCTGGCTTGAAGATGCGGCTCGTCTCGGCACCGTCCCACATAATTTAGAAGCCTACTCCGTCCAGCCAGCTGGAGAAATGGCCATCGTTGCTGATAAGGGAAAGGCCAAAGTTTCGGTGAACGAAGATGTACAGATGGTTGATATCACGAACAATAGTAAGTTAATCCACTGTCGCAGTCACCTTCAGCAGTGTGCTCAAAGATCACCCATAGATGAACCTCAGCATGTATCAATGCCTCGCAAGAAACCTCCACTGCGTCCTGGACGCGTCCCGACGCTTCCTAGCATTGATGCCGATATCCCAACCGCTGCCCGCTTTCCGAATGCGCAATCCGCAGGAAGCTCGTTCTTCGGGCAGCCCAAAGGGCTCCTTGCTCCTCCTTCCCAGGCATCACCTACACCCGCACACGAAGCAGCAGGGGCATTAGCACCTCTTCCACGACACAACTCCGCATCATCATCCCTCGAGTACCTTCCCGTTCCCCTCCCACATGCACCACGCGCGAGCGGCCGTCTTCCCCCGTCCGACTTCCCTTCAAGTTCTCCACCTCCCGTACCTGCCTCGGATGACGCCGATGCAGACCTCCTCGGCGCGCCAAGCTCCCCTCCCACCGAGCTGGGCGGCCTAGAAGACATGCCCCCGCCGAGCAGTCCACCAGCGCCCGAACGTGTCCCATCATCCAGGTCGCCCTCGCCGATGAAGCTCCCCTCTCAAGTCCGAGCTCGAATTCAGCGCGGCGGCAAGGGCGACGCGCGCATGCTGTCCGCCTCGCCGCAGAAAGACAACATCAGGGCGACGCGGGATGGGGAAGCGGACATGCTCGCGCTCAAGGAGAGCATCACGTCGATGCTCGGCAAGCGCCAGGGCTCGATGCTGAGCATGACCGACGATGAGGACGAGCTCAATCTCGGCTACGGTCCCGCCACGGGGCAGGGCGCGGGCGCAGGTGGGCGGAGAGGGAAGCGCGTACGGCCGAGTACGACGCGTAGCAAGCTCGCGTCGCGGCAGGTTTCTAAGGAGACGTTTGGCGGCGCGCCGGTGCAGTCTGTGCAGGCGCACGTCGACCCGGAGGCGTACGCGGAGATGATGGGTGTGCAGAGCACGGAGGAGAGTATGCGTGTCACGTATGAGGACCCGAGACAGCATGAGGAGCGGTTGAGGATTATGAATTTGCTTGGGGGCGGTGATGCGGATGCTGCGAGCGGTGGCGGCGGCGAGAGCAGCAAGAGTGAGAGTCAGATGTCGACGAGGTCAAGGACGAAGCGAGGGGCAGCGAGGGGGTGATTTAAGAGATTATTGCATAAGAACAGAGAACCATACGTATACTACAAATACACTGTCTGTAACATATCCTTCCCCATTCTTATTGGTTTGTCCCCCAGTTTCAATGGAGTAGTTATCGGCATAGTTGGAACCCTGCTCCATGCCATCCCTATTTCTTCCTGTGATTTTGTGAGCCTCTCATCCACGGGTTTCATGAGGAGCCAACCATTCAAAGGAGGGCAAGTCACCACAAAAACTTGCTTCGAGTGACTCTCAAAGTTGTACTTTGTGATACCAAGGGCGAATTCAGTGGAACCGAAATACGTAGCGGGAACGCTGTCGGGAGCTTCTTCAACGGTGAAGGTGAGCCCCGACAGGATGGAGCTCTCGAACGTGAAGGTATATTTTCCGTACTACTGATAATGTTGGAAGCTTAGAGGTAAGATGACCAGAGAGAGACGAAGACCTTTGCCAGTGAGTGTCATGTCCATTCGGCAGCCACGCGTTGAAGATTGCGATCTTAGAGGCGGTGGGCTGGAGTAGCTCGCTGGCGAAGCGGGAATGCATTCGGTAGAATGATGTTGGGCTGGATTTCCTCCCCAGTTGAGGACGGAAGAGTCGCCCCCGGCCACCATGATAGCCTCGATGAGACGACAGAACGCCCGGTCAAGGCCTTCACCGTATGCGGTTGCGATAGAAATGTCAAAGAGGCCCATCAAAGAATACGCTGTGTCTTCCTCCCTAGTGACCTCTCGGCTTGCCGCCCACGTCATGCGCATATCAACTTCTCGAGGGGATGGCTGGAAACAGTTCAGCTCGCGCATAGATATTCTTGTCACTTTAGATGCGATTTTCAAAGCTGCGCTACCATTCCACTCCTCCCAAAGTGGTCTCTGTCTGTTTTTTTCTTGCTTCTCGTTGAACCAGAATGAGGATAAGGAACCGGTGCCTATTAGACGGGACCAGTTCTTGTTGAAGAACTGAATTCGTTCCGGCGCTAGAAGCTCCTGCAGAGTCCAGCCTCTGCTGAACCACTCGTCTCCGGCCATGTCTCCCAGCGACGTAGTCTGATCAAGGTGGACGATGCAAAGGGAGGAGTTCCGATACCACTTGAACATGGACCGGATGGACTCGTCAAGCTCTGCGCTGCTGGTCTTGTCGATACAACATGTGTCGACCCATGCATAGGGCATACCCTGGCGTGCCGCCTCGGTACAAAAGCGGACTACTTTGGCCCACCCACCCGACAGAAGACGTCGTTCATTGCCGAAGTCTTGAAGAGTGATCTCGTCATCCGACCACCTGTGCGAAAGAATGGCGTAGCGGACTCTCTTCCGCACGAAGTCCGTGATGCCTTCTTTCTTCCCTTTCCCTTGTCCTTGCCACTCATAAGACTTTGGAACCTCAAACTGGTCAAGGAAATAGTGCTGAAAGTTTTCCTTCACTTCCCGACGTCCGACAAGCTTCAGATCTCCGCCGATACTGCACTGGATGACGCGTATCGGTACATCGTTATTGACATATCTCTTGAACTCTCGGCGGATATCGTTCCGCAGGCCGTCCTCGCTAGCATAAAATCAGACATTTGAACAATGCAGTGTGAGAATGTTCACGCACAAAGGGGAAGTTTCATTAGAGGCCAACGGGATCGACGGCGGTGATAGGTACATGAAGACTGCACCTTCAATCGCGAGTATGAGCGGATCAAGTGTAGATGCTGTAAAACGTAAATGCTGTAGAATTATTATTTTATTCGTATATTCATAATTATGCCCCGCTTTTGTTTGCTCATGCTTGGCAGGAATCTATGTCAGGGTTAAGGTTAGTGGTTGTCACCTTTAGCTCAGAGACTAATAGTAATACGTACTAAAGCGGGGATCAGTCTACCATAGGGCCATGCCCCAGAGGACGTAAAACTCAGATAGATAATAATAAAAAAGCGGGGATGCTCTGTCTCATTTACTTCATGCGAGTATGATGGGTATGCGTACATTGCCTCTAGACACTTCCTTTGTCTGTATATCACGTCAAATAGCCTCAGTATGGCCATGCTCAAGCTTCTGCTTCGAGACGCATCCCATCAACATCCCATCCTCTTTTTCGTGGGCCGCAGCTTGGCCGCAGCTTTAGCAGAGGCAATTCTCCTGTGGTGATTCCCACGTACGAGGGATGCATGAAGAGGAATTATCCGCCCCAAGTTCTGGCTCCCGACAGACCTGATGTCGACTTTAACTTGTAGAATGCCAGATGTGTTTTGTAATGTGTTCCATTGTGATATCCTGAAATCGCAAGGTACACGCATCCACGGGCAGGAGAGCGAAACGAAAAAAGGGGGAAGCAAGGTTTACATTCCAACTCTAGATAGTACTAAGATTGAACGTTAGATAGTCGTTGAATCCGCCCCCTGCAACAGGAAGGACGTGAAGATCCGCAGCGGTCTGTCATTGTAAATCCAAGAATCGCACCACAACAGACAAGCTCAGTTGTTCAGCCAAGGATGCTTTGCCAGCTCAGCAGCAGTCGCGCGCGTCTCAGGCTCATAGCGGAACATACGCCCCAGGAGGTCCATGAGGTCGTCGGCCTCCTCCTCACCATAGAACTCTGCGATGTTGGCGTGCAGTGAGTTGGCATGGGGTTCGATACCCGCAACGTGCAACAGCATGCCTATACCAAGACAAGGATCAGCATTCCGAGGTGCATGGAAATGAAAGGTGTACTGACCGTCGTCTGCGAGCCAGTCGGTGCTGTACTTGCCTGATTTGACGAGGCTCTGAGGCACAGGTCCGAAGTATTCGATCATCTGGGCGAGAAGCTCCTCTTCAGTACTCCATGAGGGGTCTTCTTGAGCCCACGGGTTGAAGAGTTCTGTGCCCATCATGAGGTAATATATCTACACCTTGCTATCAGCGCCCAAGTTCCTATATGTGTGAGGGGAGAGGGGACGTACGACGCAGGCAACGCTCCAGATATCAACGGGCGTCTCCCATGGCGCCCGGAGGAGAGCCTCGGGAGAGCGCAGAGCAAGGCTTTGGATCTCGTTTCGGAGGTGGTTACCGACCCAGTTGGCTGGTGTCCCGGAGTGCATGAGTTGACTATATGTAAGAACTGACAGAAAAACTGAGAAACGTACCGACACCCAAGTCTACGATCTTGATCTGCGGGTCATCGCTTGATGGAACGAACACGGGGAGCGGCTGCGTCTTGATTACGCTAAATGTGGAATACGGTGGAAACTCGCTCGTCTGCTTCGGGGAGACTTGGGGTGGGTTGGTAGCAAGATCAGCTGAGATGCGTGGGTAGGGGTCTTCAAGGGTCAAGAGGACATTGTCGAGCTTCAAGTCTGCCAACTCGCGCAATGAACACGCATATATGGAATCCTAGGAGACTGGAACACACCTGTATGCACGATGCCACAAGCCGTGTGCAGATAATCCAATCCAAGGAATATCTGCCGAATGATGGACTTGATGATGTTCATAGGAACCGCCTCGTCATAATGCTGGAGAAGCGCGTATATATCTCGGCCCAGCATGTCGAACACTAAGCATATATGCTTCCCGTGTGGCCCGACGTGGTAGAAGTGATCTCGCAGTCCAATGACGTGTTTGTGTCCTGGATGTGATACATCCGCAGTCGAAGCGCGAAGGAGGAGGTTGATCTCGTCGACTTCGTCAATGCCACCTTCGGTACTGTTGCCCGTGAGGATCTTGAGCGCAACGAACTCGTTCACTCTTGAGGTTTGGGGGTCAGTACAGACGGGAAGAGAAAGGGGAAGATGGACGCACTGTATGTCCTCTGCTAGCCATACCGTCGAGAACTCCCCATATCCAATCTTTCGTCTGACAACGTAGCGACCGTCCTTGAACCCATCTCCAATATTGACAGGGTGGTACCCTCCTAAGCTGTATCGTGTGATATCTTCCTCTCGCGAATAGTCGAAGTCAGGAAGCACACGAACATCTGGCTGTGTGGTGGGCGAGCCTGTCGAGCTTGGTTGTGCGACGGGAACAGAGGAGGTGGTGGTGGCGGGAGAAGACGGGGACCATGGCAGGACGCGACTAATGTCAGACTGGAAACGCGTGATTATGAACGGTATCGCGATGGCCAGCAGCGCAACGAGCACGAATGGTCTGGTCAAGAAGGGTCCTGCTGCCCTGGGATTTGACATTGCCGGCGAACGTGGGTGGGTTGTGGGCTGCTTTTGTCGTCGTCGCGCTCGCTCTGATATGTCGTGCAACGTGGACAGGCTGTCCCACCACGATGACGGCTGAAACACCCGGTAACCCCGCACTATGTTACTTTCGGCAAGCTTGACCCACTCTTTCATCTTCCACTTGTAAAACGCTGCTCGACAACTATTTGCTGGCTCTCAGAATGACAGGACCTCCGATAGCTATGTAAGTGCGTAGCACTTTTTCAATGTGACTCACCCTTTCATGGCCTCCCAACTTCAAAGTCAATCTTTTCGACATCAAACCCGTGGGCCCGCATGCGGCCTGCCTCGAGAACTTGAAGCTTGAGGATCTCAACTCGCTCGCCAACGTCTTTATCGCTGCGGTATTGGTACATGGTACTTAGGAATCAATGCATCCATCGCTATAAACTTCAGCAGGAGGATGTGCTCGAAAGTATCCTTGAGGGCTCTTAGCGCAAGTTGACAGCTTGACGACTCCAGATATGGTGTCACGAGGTTTCATTCTATCATGCATTGCACTCAACCAGGCCTCCGAGGAAGTTTACTAGGTTCGGATCAGACAAGCTCGAGGATATCTTGACGTTGACTACCAGACAGTGCATGTAGCTAAGCTCTAGCATATCTAGGGTATTAACTCTGTACGATGGCTTAGAATGGGCCAACTGGAAGGGCAAGGTTAGCTACACCAGACTGTTCTCATGATGGATAATCGGCACTTACCGTAGTCGAAGTAAAGGCGAAGCTTATATGCCTCTTGTACCTTCGCAGACGTGAACTTGATGCGCCTCGCATGCCTCCTTTCTCCGTCCTTGTTCTCGAATCCCCACACCTGCAACTCTCCCGGTCAGCCAACAGATAGCCTGCATAAACGGGCGAAAGACCATACCTGCTCCATCGTCCAAGCGTCACTCTGTCCGACGTTACCGCTCATGATGATATGAATCACCTTAGACTCTACTGTGTCCTCCGTCCACCCATCCCTAAAGAACACATCACCCATCTCAGCAACGTCCACGCGCTTTGACTTGGCCACGACGCTCCCGAGCCTCTCGCTCTCCTCTCTTCGCTCCTGGAAATCCAAGGTGCGCGTGTTAGAGGGTTCTCCACTGGGGCCGCCGGCAGAGACGGAGTTGAATATCTCCACGACCTCAACGCCGGTGGTCAGGTCGGTGTGCTGCCTGAAGCCTGAGGTAAGGTTGACGGCGTTGAAAGCTTTGCGCTGAAGCCAGGGGATGCCTTGCAGCTTGAGAACTTCGTCGAGGTTGTCGCTCAGCGATTTGTTCTGTGTTCGGTTATGAGATGAATGAGAAGATGAGACAGGTTACTGGCAGCCGACCTTCACGAACTTGCCAGTGATATTGGCGGTAGTGACGCTCATAGGAGTTGACATGTTGGATAGATTGTTGTGGAGGCTCGCGCTAGTATCTTGAACTGTAACTCAGTGAGTAGGTAACGGTTCTGACGTTCTCCCCTCCACTGGCACCTCATTCTTATATCAATCTGAGAGTATTTCGCTTCGCTGAAGAAGCAGTACGGTGCGTAGCCATATCCTCTCAGAGGCGAACGCGAGATGAACTACCGGGACGGGCCACCGAGCCGCGCACGCGAGTCGCTCTTCCAGAGTCTTGAGGTTAAGAACTTGTCGTGGATCTCCGAAACAATGTGTTCCCCCGCGTCAGCGAATAGCGAAATCAACCTCCGGTCCGATTTTCTCGGAAATCCTTATTCGGAGTGCCCCTATCTCTCCATGGGACCCCCTGTCTTCCTTTCAATACGGTGCTTTCACCTTTTCAGTGTTCAGTGTGTACATGCGCTTAAGAGAAAAAAGTTTCTCGAAAGTAAGGGTAAACAACCCTCATTGAATTATCCGCCGCTTACATATATTTGCTTCTTCACCTGTCCGCAGATATCCATTGCACACTTTGTCAACCACGACTCGATCACTCGTCGTAAGGTTAACTATGCCTTTTGAGGACGTATGTTTTTTTCGCTGTGAATTCTGAATCCTGTCTAGGGCCTGGTGCGATAGGTAGCTACCGAGTACGTTACCATAGTGCTATCTGACTATTGTCTTCATCCAAATTGTCTTGCCAATCTCCGAGGTGGGTTCCCCGTTTATTCCGCGAGGAGTCTACCTCAAAAGGGAAACCCGAAGGTCGCGAGGGTGGAGGAGGACTCGAGGAGGAATGGGGACTATGCAACCTGGGAAGGGCGCGGTGTGTGAATTCTCGCTCACCGCCAAGGAGTACCCATGAGACTCGGATCGGATTATACGACTGTCCGGTACGAACAGCGTGAGATCGTGAGATACTGGTGAAGGGTGGGTATGGAAGTATATGGGGAGATGGAGTCTAGCGTTGCGATAGGATCGCCTCCATATCTCGCCATTGCAGGGCTGGGCATAGTTGATTCTCTGGGATTCATCACCGTCTATAGCGGAATGGTCTCGCTCATCTCTCACAATCGTTGATGGGGAATGCTTTGAAAGAGGTAGTTGTTTTACTCATATGAGTACGAAGTACTATCTAGTTAATGGGCTTCCGAGGTCATGAGAGTTGTTATACCCTTGAATTCTCACACTGCAATGGTGTCAAGCAGTGCATCATATGAAGATGCTCATCTCTAGGATTCTACGGCTGTTACTAGGCTGTTTGTACTCTCGTGAAAACGAGGAGAGCTAGACAACCAACTTGTCATAAAGAACTTTGGATATGTTTGGGAATAGTCAATTGCTAAACCGCAAGCCATTGAATCTGAAACCAGCGCTCTTTCCTTCAGGGTTTTAGTGATACGTCTCAGTAGGAGCATATTGAAATATCCCATCAGAATAGCTTCGTCCATTTTGATCGTTCCAAGTAGAAACGTCTTCACGTCATCGCTTTGGTAGCTTCATCAATGCTGCGGTTTAAAAGTGTGTGAGAGTAGTATAATGGACGAGCGCAACCTCCTCCACTACTATCCTTCACTTTTACCCTGTGATAGCTCAGGTCTTGAACTTAAGTATACAACAGGCAAATTATATGGAGCAACTAATCAAGATTGTGGAAGGCGTACAGCTTACAAACGTGAGCTATATTCTAGAGCTGTAAAGTTCTACTGCTCATAATATCAATATTATTGGAACGATACGCAGTACATGGATGGTAAGAATACATCGTGCCGTTCGATGATATAGTCACATTTGACATTGAGAAGTTTCAGCTGGGGTAATCATGGTATCTGACCACCGCTTCCACTTATCCTTTGCTGCTTATTATTCCCAAGGTCTACGATCTTCTCCTCATGCTACCTGCAGAGGTAAATTCCACTGGGCCAAGACTTCCAATAACAGCATTGATTAGTCTTCAGGTAGATTATCTATGGATGGGACGCCGAACTGGAATAGGGAAAGTTCTCTATGTTTTAGCTCGGTACAGCGCATTTCCGATCGTGATCCTAGTTTTCATACGTATGAATTCTGTTCCAAAAGTTCAGAGAAACAGAGGCTAACTAACACATATAGTCCAGCATGCATCTGGTGTTGCTTACAAGGTTAGTGATTAACTAGCCTCTGAGGTCACTAGTTGATTAAATCTCTCCTACAGTCATGCATGCCTTTGCTTCAAGCAATTATTGGTGCGATATCCTCCTTTTTCGTGTTATAATCGACAAGCAGCCGGTCTTACCGGGCGCATAGTCTTGGACGCCTTCGCGATTCTATCCAGTGAAGGTGCGATACGTCAGCATGATGATGACACGAAACTTGACGAGGTCGAGTGCTAGCCCTTTTTGCGCTACGAACCTGTATTCTATGGAATCATCGAAAACTAATCCCGGCTATACTTCTCACCCTGGAAATGGTACATATCGCGGTGTAGTGGTTGGATATCTGAGTTTGAAACTGAGTCTTTTACCTAGATCGGCCTCATACCAGTTGGAATCATCCTGAAACTCACTTTTGAAGGAGCTACAGGTGAGCTCAAGCCAGCGCCCGTACATATCACACGAGCTTATCATATTTTACGACTGCAGTTCTAGAACTTCCTTTACCAACCACATCTGCTTGCGCCCTAAGCGTCGTCCCCCGATTGCACTATGGGCTGTACCTTATAGTGCTTGTCAACGAGTCAGGTTATATTGTTCCCTTATGCTGGAAGTTTCTCCCATCTCACGCAAACATCCAGCGTTACTCATTTTGATGATTGTCCGTGTTCAGCAAAACTGGCCACGATCGATTCTTGTTAAGGTCTTGGTACGCGATGGTGTGTCGTATTGCCTCTTTGGTGTCTGTAAGCAATACTTTCGTCAACATATTTTCTGCGAATTAATCATGCTATGCTTAGCCTTGTCAACTATCAACATTTTCATCTTTCTGAGAGGACCGGTTAGTCAACTCTCTAGACAACAGCACTGACAGCTCATCCGAATGAACTAGAATGGTTATACCGAATCATTCACTGTGTCAGCCGTCTCGCGCAACATCGACTCCCCCACAACAATTGATATTTGCTATCGCAGGTATCAAACAATCTTGCACACAATTCTCGCATCACGGCTACAGCTTTACCTAGCCAGCAAGGGAAAATCAACTAACGTACACATCATTACTGCGAGACCTTCTGCAGGGTATCACTAGCATGGGATAGGTTTGGAGCTATCATTGAGGAGTCACAACCATGAACTCTCATGCACGAGATGAAACTCGACGTGAGAATAAACACATAACCGAGAGAAATGTTTCCGATATTTGATGTATCATCCTCTAAGTATATTGCATTGTTCTGTTCATGCTGTTCATGTTGTTTTGCCTCCTATCCCCGACATCACCGAAGGAGAGACCATCCTACACGACAACGCCCAAGAACATTAATATGATATTACAAATTGCTGCTAACGTGCGTCATTTGGGCCAGCATAACTACTAGTACACCATCCTAAGCATGCAGTTGAGGAGTGGAGTGTATTCTTCTTGCCACTTGGCCACTCGGTGTCTCGGTTTGACGTGAAAAGGGTGACTCCCCTTCCGGACGTGTGTTTACATGGAGAAGGATTGAATGGCCGGGAGAACGCGTAGGTGGCCATTCCAAGTATCAACGATACTGACAGTCGAGTACGGGTGGGGAGATGATAATCAGATGGAGCCGTATCAGTGGCAGTGGCATCCAGTGGCAGGCATGGAGGGAAGGGAAATTCGGCTTCTCCGAGTCACGAAACATTGTCCTTGGCGTTTTCATCAGTAATCAGGACAATGAACGTGGCCTGGAGAAAGATGTTATGTCGGGCATACATGGGTGGAAGCAGATCCGAAGTAGTTTTCCAGCTGATAACCGTTGGCGAGCCCCCAGAGACGTGTGTAAAGCACATGTTAGTATTGGGCGTAACACCACGTAACGACCCACATTCACAATAACCAACCATTCCTGGCGTGAAGCCAAGGCTCAGAGTCAGAGTCGTCCTACGGTGCACGCGTAATTCTGACTGAGCACCTTACTCGTGGCTTGCTGATCGAAGCTAATGAAGTTGATGATCAGGCACCCTCAGTTAGTTACGTCCGTTAAAGCCTTCCTGCGGTGAAAAGGCTCCAGGCCGACGGCGAGGCAACCAAAGAAAAGAATATGTTTTGCGCCGTGATGCCACCTGACCAGCTGCCTGGAAAGGAGGTAAAAACATCGTGTTCGGTTGTAAACGCAGAATCAACATGCGGATACTATGGGCGATATACAACGACAAACAGTTTGGCAGGTCCCTTGGGCTAGATATAGGCGACAGTCGCCGCTGTCAAATGTTCACTTTCAGACATACCAGGGTCCTCTCTCTTCTTCATCCCCCCATCCATCCAAGTCGTCCATCCTCCCATCCTCCCGATTCCGAGTAACGAGCAAGCACGATGAGCGAAGGAGAAGCAAAGGTGAGCCCGTCGGCGTCGGCCTCGGTACCTTATACGCGTGGCGCTTTTCCCAAATGGGGCGTGCGCATGTATGCTGTGCTGACTCAAATCAAAACCTCCAGCACCCCGGACTGCTCATCGACTTCGTCGTCGTGGGCGGCGGCATCGCAGGCCTCGGGTGTGCAATCGCACTGCGCAAGATAGGGCACAATGTCACTGTTCTGGAGAAACTCACGACAGAAGAACGGGTGAGTCTTTCCTCGCGTGCCAGCACACGCCCAGTGCCACTCAAGCCAATGTCACCGCGTCCGTCGGCAGTATGCGCTGCCGGTCGGTGGCATCCGGATACCACCTAACGGCACCAAGATCCTGTCGCACTGGGGGCTGGAAGAGGAGATCAAGAAGGTCTCTGTCACATCGACGCATATTCATGTGCACGCATGTACGTCCAGACCGACTTTTATGCCTTACCTTTCTGCCTGCTCAAAGCTCTTTCTCGGCAGACCAATCGGGCCACTTCTTTGGATCGCATCAATGGGATCAGGAGATGCTCGACGAGGCCGGGGGCGAATACCTCTTCATGCCGGTAAGCCTACCTCAGCGCGCCTAGTATCGCGGCTTTGTCACTAATCCTTTTGCTTTTGGCATAGCACAACGACCTGTACAGGATAATCCTGGATCGTGCGACAGAGTTGGGCGCAAACATTCGGACGGGCGTGGAAGTAGCCAGCGTAAATATCGATGACCATGAAGATGACCCCCAGTACACTGCCATCCTTACCACTGGCGAGCGGATATCAGGAGACGTGATTGTTGGTGCGGACAGCCGGTGGAGCAGACTCCAGCGATTTGTCGAGGGAAGTGACGTCTGGGACAACGCGCCCCTCAGATGTGTCACCTACCAGTACGTATTACCTACCCAATGGCACATTTCTGGGATCTAAAACCCTTGCCTAGCTGTCTCATACCAACCCAACTCTTGGACCAGGACCCGGATTTATCGTTTCTTGATCGTGAAGGGGTTCGTGGGCTCCTTGCGCGTTCATATGTTCACCTTACTCATTGTCATCCAGGCCGGAGTGTTTGTGTGGATGGGGGACAATCGGACATTCACTTGTTATCCTGCGGTACGGCCAGCGCTTCCGCTAGAGAGATTCCCGGCTTATAAATCCTAATTCACAGGGAAAGGATTATTTTGCATTGCACTATTCGCATATGCCCGAAAGTCAGCCAGAAGGATTTTTTGCCAGCAAAGAAGAGCTTCTTTCTGTCCTGGGAGACGCCGACCCAAGGTAAGCTCCTACAGTGCAGGACCCATTCTCTGTCACTCACCACCTATCTCTCCCCCCAGAATACGGAAGATCGTCTCCTTTGCCGGTCCAACCATTTCACGCATCCCCGCCAAGATCGTTGACCCCCTCGAGCAATGGGTGCACCCCTCCGGCCGCCTCGTGCTCGTCGGCGAAGCCGCGCACCCGCTCCCGTTCGGCGCGCTGCAGGCGGGCGCAATGGCGCTCGAAGACGCAGCCGTGCTCGCGAAGCTCTTCTCGCACCTCGCGTCCGCAGACCAGATCGCGCCGTTCCTCTTCGCGTTCCAGGACCTGCGCGAGGCGCGCTGCGCACGCGTGGCCACGAGCGAGGCGTTCAACCTGTACTGGATGATGCTGCCCGACGGCGCGGAGCAGCGCGAGCGCGATGCGCGCATGCGCGGGAATGTCGCGGAGGGGCGGACTGTGATTGGCTCGATTGAGCGCGAGGGCGCGAGTCAGTGGGAGAGTGTGAAGGAGATGTTTGCGTATGATGCGGAGGACGCGGCGGATGATTGGTGGGTCAAGTGGGGGTTGTTGAGGGAGGCGGCGAAGCAGAATGCGTTGACGGAGGACGCGGCCGCGTCGGTGGCCTCGCTGAATATCAGCGTGTCGTAGTGCGCCGCGCGGCTTTTCATTTTCATTTGGTAGGCTATGATGCTTGCTTGAACTGTGGTCATATCATTTCTCGTTCTTGGATAGTAGTTTCACAGAAGGTTCATTCGTCGTCGTTCATGTACATTACCCCACATATCTCCTCATCTCTGCACTCACAACGCGCTTGACGTCCATAGTGTACATACCTGCAATTATCTCTTACATTATATCAACTTTGCTTATGAACGTACCGCGAGGCAGCAAGGACCTCAAAGTATGCCAATGGTCGCAAGTCTGACTCTGGTCCGGCGGGTAAGACAACGACTCAGGTGGATTGGGTCACGATCTGATGCTGAGCTATGCATATGCGCACGACATTAGCCTGAAACAGCGATTTCTATTATCCCGGACTGGGGTATACAGCGCTCTAAGCCGGGGGTATACAGCGTGCAATACAGGTCTAAAACCTGCGATATATCCCGCGTCGTTTTTCTTCTTCCCTGCAGAACCAGCTTTTATTCAACACACGCTGAGATTGGCCAAGGAGAGTAGACCAACGTACCGATATTCGAACATGAGCTGCACCCCGATGAAGATGCACGCACACGCGGACACCAAGAACCGCAGCCCTGCGTTACAAACATAACATTGGGTATCAGAAGCGGCGATCAGCACAAATCCAACAAAACTCCGGAGGAAAAGAGGGTGACGTACCGCTCCAGGTCCCAAAGACCTCCGAAACCATGTAGAGCATCCCGTCCGTGCCGATCACGAACCCGACGAGGTTGGCGGAGATCATCATGAGCACGTTGAGCACGCCACCGAGCGCGCACGCGTGTCTGTACCACGGCTCGCTCCCGTACTGCCGAGCACAAACAAATAAATAAGCAAGTATGAGCTGTGGTGTGGATGACGAGACGGGGGAAGAAGAGAGGAGCGCACCTTGGACTCGGGGAGCACGTAGCGCGCGGCGAGCTCGGGGAGGACGAACACGCTCACGAGCCAGCCCCACGCGAGCAGGCGGAAGGAGAGGTCGTGCCAGAGCGCGACGAACGTGAAGACGAGCGCGGTCGAGACGACGACGTTGTGTGCGCCGCCGAGGGGAATGTGGATGTACCTGTATTGTATCCCATCGCCGCCGAGGGTTATGTGAAGTCAGAGTCAGCTAGGCAAGGTTTCGCGGAGGGATAAAGAAAGCCACAGGGGGGAGGATGGTAACGCACCGGACGATCCACAGATTGTAGCTGCGATGCCAGCTCCGCCAGAACCCGAACGCGGAGTAGTTGTTCGCCATGCAGCGCACCATGTTCTCCGGCGCGTCCACGCCGCCCGCGAGCGCCCAGAGGCGGAAAAAGCGCCACGGAAGCAGCAGCTTTCCATCCGCCAAGCAACGTGTCAGCATCGAACGAACACAACGGTGATGGTCAAGGAGGGAGGCAAGCGCACCTTGAGCCAGACGACCATCAGGTTCCAGAAGCCGACCATGCTGAGCTCGAACGGGGAGAGGCCCTGCCACGCGCGGGCGTCCTTCATCGCGACGACGTACATGAAGTGCAGGATGAGCTCCATCGTGCCGAGCGAGAGCAGGAAGCGGAGCAGGTAGCGCGCAACGGCGGTTTTGGGTATTGATACGGGGTTGCGCAGCTGCCAAAAAGAAACGCACGTCAGCGTTCAATGAGACACGCGGAGCTAAAAGGAGTGAAGGAAATGAGACGGACCTGCCAGACGAAGTTGTTGTAGCTCATGATCGGGCCGGCGATGTACAGAGGCGGGTAGAGCACGTAGGCGATGTAGTTGGCATACGTGTAGAATTGGACGGGGAGGGCCGTCGCGATGCGTTGTTTCTCGTTCGTCGGCTGTTTCTCATCCTCTAAGCTGGGACTGGCATTGGAACTGGAGGCGGCGGAGTCTTTGCAAGCCCAGTAGTAGTCCATGTTGAACGAGATGAGGCGGAGCATGGTGATGTTGAAGCTGATGTGCCAGCGCGGGTAGAGGCCTTCGTAGATGTCCTGTCAAAGGGAGACGTACTTTGGTATACGAAGTGCAAAAACGAGGGCGGTGAAATAGCGCACCAGGGTCTCCAGGGAAGAATGGATCGACGCGTATCTGTACCCCTCGTACCTCTCATTCAAAAATAGCACCGCGACGTTGAACGCCCAAGTGACCAGCGGGCCCGCCCTCGACTTCCCGAGCTTCTTGGCGATGTAGTAGTTGGCAGAGAGAATGACGAATATCTTCACGATGCTCGTGCCGTGCAGGCCGATGAGAAAGAGGGCCGAGAACGCGTGGTAGAGCGGGATAAGGTAGAAGTTATTCTCGGGTGGTCGCGTCAAGGACCTCAGCGTGAAGCGCGTATACGCGACCTTGGTGAGGACGAAGACGGCGGCGAGGGCGGCGAGGGCGGGGACGTTGTCCCTGAAGGAGCGGTATTGGGCATCGCTGTTGTCCTACGAACGCGAGTTAGCACGCGCAGCACGGAAAGCTTGGGCGTGTCCTGAAGGGGGACGTACGAGGGCGCGGCCAAAGATCCAACCGGGCCTCAGTCTGTGGTTGTACTTGTAATAGTTGTCGTGCGTAGCTAGCTTTGCCTGTCAGACGCGCAGACATGGAAAACACAGAACCAGGGCTCACGCGAGCTGATGCTAACAGGCACCCACACCATGATCGGAATAACAATCACGGCGGCCAGATAATAGAACAAGAACTCCGGCGTAGCCCATCTCGAGGGATTTGTTTCCAGCTTGACGTTCTTGGAGCCGGAGTCGGGGAGGTCGACGGTGAGTGCTGTAATGCCTCGATGCCTCCGGGCCGGGGTGGGGTCCTCCTCGAGGGAGAGGTGGTGTCTAGGTTTCCCTAGATCATTTGGCATGTCTATGACAGCGTCATTCATTCAAGCTGGGATAAAAAGCAGTTGAAAGGTCAGGAGATGAGCAGGACAATGTCGAGCATGAGAGAATATGATTTTAGTGTCGAGACGGGGAACGGTCAGGGGAATGTCGTGTGAACAAGCTGCTTATTCTGGGTTTTGTCCTTGCAACGCGCTCCAACTATTACAACAGCTCTTATGATACTTTCACCTTCCACCTCCATCTTCCCAACATCCTGCTGACACCATGCTCCGTGGAGTGGACGACGTTTCGACTGGCTCGGATTCGGACTACTCAAAGTGAGTTGTCCAAGTAATCTCTTCGCCACCGATTACTGAGAGTGCGTGTGCAGTTCGGTAAGCACGAGGCCAAACCGGCCTTACTATGCCTTTCATTTGACTTGCATGTCTGACGCGTTCTCTTCTCAGTGGATTTCATGGTTTCTGTCGTCAAAAGGCAACGAGTACTTTTGCGAAGTCGAGGAAGACTACATCCTCGACCGATTCAACCTCACCGGCCTCAACACCGAGGTCTCCAACTACTCCCAGGCTCTCGATCTCATCACCGACAACCTCGGTCCGTATACATCACCATCGCAGGCGTGTATGAGGTTGACCTTGCAGCGCAGATGACGAAATCCAGGATGAGCTGAGGGGCACACTCGATGTGCAGGCGCGGCTGCTGTACGGGCTGATACACGCACGATGGATCGTCACCGCGCGCGGGCTGAGCAAGATGGTGCGTTCCTCCCCTTTCCCACTCACAGCATACACCCACATATCACTATCCCCATCTCCCCATTCCTCCGTCCCTCTAAACGCTCGCCTACAGATCGAAAAATACAAACGCGTCGACTTCGGTCGCTGCCCGCGCGTGCTCTGCCAATCCCAGCCGCTCCTCCCCGTCGGGCTCAGCGACGTGCCCTACGAAAAATCCGTCAAGCTCTACTGCGGCCGCTGCGAGGACGTGTACTCGCCCAAGTCCTCCCGGCACGGTTCCATCGACGGCGCGTACTTTGGCACCTCCTTCCCGCACCTCCTCTTCCTCGTCTACCCGAACCTCATCCCGCCCAAAGTCGGCCCGGTCGATGCCGCCGCCGCGCTGCGCAATGGCGGGGTTGTTGCCGGTGCGGGTGCGGAGGCCGAGGGTGCAAGGCGGACCCGGCGGGTGCGGGAGGACAGCGAGGTGGAGGGCAGTGGGAGTGGTGTAGGTGAGGCGAGCACGGCGAGTGTTGCGCTGAAGGCGGAGAGGTATAGGCCGAGGATATACGGGTTCCAGCTGCACGAGACGGCCAAGCTGCAGCGATGGCAGGAGGCCACTCGAGATCGGTAACGCTGCGCCCCATCGCTCTCTCCTCGACGGCATTAACGTATTTCATAGACAGGTTGCACGGCTAGAGGCTATAGAGGACCTCAACTGATTCCTGATGTAATTTCTTGCGTGTTATAATGGGCTTTTCCTAGTTTTCATTCTATCCTCGGGCGCTTGACATGGGCGCCTTATGCTTCCGGTGGCTGTACCTTCGCACAGCCCGCGATTGGCCCGTGCGCAAGGGACATGGGTGAGTCATCCGCTGAGTCATCCTGTGCAATACAGCATGAGGGCGTATAAAGTCTGGTCCTGCCAGCGGTTTCTTTCTTTCCCCAGCCCTGTTTTCTACCGTGAATCTTTAAGAGAGCGCCATGGTGTCCGAGACTTTGAGTGCATCTGACTTTCCTATCAAGTCGGTTAAGCTTTACAGGTCCGGCGTGGCTGAGATCACTCGTAGTTTTCAGATCGACTCGTTGCGCTACCAGGTCGGTCATCGTCTCTTCCTTTGCTCCCCTGGGAAATCGGCACCAGTCGACAACCTCTTGAGTACCAGCCACGTCTCTGGACGCTAACTACACTCCTCTGGTTGTTCCCCTGTGTTTATTATAGTCGACTCCGATAGATGTAGAGATCACGAATCTGCCCACGCAGCTCTACTCCCTGCGCGCGTCGCTCACGGGCGCGCAGCTCGCCCTGCTCGACTTCCACAGCACCAGGCGCGACGCCAGCCCCAGCGCCAACGCGGGCACTGCAAACGCGGACGAGCCAAGCGCGCTCGAGCGCAGTCTCACGCAGCGCCGCCTGCAGCTGCAGGACGAGCGGCGGCTCAAGCAGCAGGGCTTCGACTTTCTCTCCACGTTCATGCGCACGCTCGCCGAGGGCCGCGCGCCGTCTTCCGCCTCCTCCTCCGGGTCCGGGTCAGGGGTGGAGCCCGCGCAGGTCGTCGCGTTCTTCGACGACTATGTTACCGCGGGCAAGGACCGGCTCGAGAGCGTCGCGGCGCTCGATCGGGAGATCGAGGACGTGGAGCGGCAGCTGCGGGAGGAGGCGAAGAGGGTGCGGCATCTTAGGGAGAAGCTCGCGAGTGCGGTGTGTGTGAGTGTGTCGACGGTGCGGGAGGCGGAGGTGTATAGCGGGGAGATCACGTTGACGTATAGTGCGTCCATCTTATTTGCTGCACCCTTGTTATCTGCAGCTTACGTTTCTGAATCTTGCTCGCGTGTAGTGGTCGACCAGACGTCGTGGAAGCCCAAGTACGAGCTGCGCACTACTACCGTCAACGGCTCGCCGTCCGCGGCGGTGCAGCTGCACATCCGGTGCAGTATCGAGCAGGACACGGGCGAGGACTGGGACAACGCGGCTGTCGCGTTCATCGCCGCCACGTCTGCCTCGCACCTGCTCAAGATCCCCGATCTCAAGCGCGTTGAGATCCGCGCGAAGCCGACGGGACTTAGTCTCTTTGGTAGTGGCAACGCGAATAACAACAACAACAATGCGGCGCCAGGGGTATTTGGAAGCTCGGCTTTCGGCGCTGGTAATACCAGCAGCAACAACAGCAACAATGCCGGCAATATCTTCGGGCAACCCCAGCAGCACCAGCAAAACCAGACGTCGGGCCTTTTCGGGCAACCGCAGCGACAGCAAAACCAGGCATCGGGCTTTTTCAGCCAGATGCCCCAGCAGCAGCAAGCGCCACCCCTGTTCGGTACCCAGACTCAGACACAGCCCGCCGGTTTCTTTGGCGGGACCAGCGCCCAGCCTCCAGCTCCGGCTCCGGCTCCGGGCATGCCTGCTCTACCACCTGTGGTTATTCAGCCTCCCCCCGGTGCATTTGGGTCCTTTGCAGCTCAACCCCCTGCACCCGCTGCTCCGCCTCCGCCGCCTTCGCGGGCGGGCGGGGAAGCGGTGGTCCTTGAGGAAGCGGCTGAGTCCGCGGAGGAGCTGTGGGCGTTACAGACGGATATTCGGATGACGTCTAAGGTCGGTGTTCTCCTCCTTTGGCTAGTTCTTCAATGGTACTCAAACAGGTTATTGATTCTTTTTTTTTCGCAGGACGGCAAGAACCCGGTCGTGTACGAGGCGCCGAACAGGGTGTCCATCCCCAGCGACGGGCGCTCGCACCAGGTGCTCATCGATATTGTCACGCTCGAGGCGAAGTTTATGCATATCGCTGTGCCGAGTGTGGATACTAGGGTGTTTTACTGCGTGCGTTGGATTCTTGCGTGTTTATATTTCTGATTTGGTGCTGAGGTTGATGTTGATCGCTCTAGTGCGGCACGACGAACAACAGCGCGTACGACCTCATTCCCGGCCTCATCGCCACTTTTGTGGACGACAAGCACGTCTCCGACGGAACCATCCGCGTATGTCTCACCCTCACCTCTCCTACACTTAATTCTCATACTAACACGCGCTCAAATCGACAGGGCCTGACAAAACCCCAAGTGATCGAATGCTGCATCGGCGTCGACCCGCAGCTCACCGCGTCCTACGCGCGCAACAAGACCGAGTCCATGTCCACGTTCGCCGACTACACGGGCACGACCACGACCTCGTACATCAGCACCGTCACCATCAAAAACGCGCACGCGGCCCCCGTGTCGGGCGTCGTCGTGCGCGAGACGCTGCCGAGGTCGGACGACCAGCGCTTTACGGTGAGCCTGCGCGAGCCGGAGGGGCTCGAGCACAGCGCGGGCTTGAGCGCTGCTGGTGCTGGTGCGGACGGCGGCACCGGTGCTGGTCGGGGCGGGAGGAGCGTGCAGCTGCGCGAAGGGCTCAGGGCACGGTGGTCCCCGCCGTTCCGGGGCGTCGAGGGGCACAAGGAGGGGCGGTTCGAGTGGGTGTGCGAGGTGCCCGGCGGGGAGACGACGCTCAAGGCTGTGTGGGAGGTGTCGGCGCCGCGCAATGTGGTGCTTGAGGAGGTCGTGAGGGATCAGTTCCACGGGTTGTTAGGTGGGGCGTTTGGGAAGAAGGGTGTGTAGACGAAGAGCGCGGTATACCCATACCCGACATGTTGGTTTGTACGATAGACGTTTTCGGGATTGGGTGGTGAAAACTTGTGTACCCATATGTAGCAGAAAGTGTTATAATACAAAGCACGGTGGCGTAACATTGACTTCTTGCATCGTCCCATATTATGAGACATACTCAAACGACTCCGTCACTCCGGATGGCGCATTGTCCAAAGTCGAGTTTTGTCAAGCCCTCTTCCTTGGGTAAGATATCCTGATGCATCAATGTCAGAAAATGGTAAAGTGAAAGGTGTTTCGATCATAACGTACGTGTTCAAAAATGCCGAGAGGCAGCGCGAGCGTGACGCATGCGTTCGGCGAGTCCTGCAGGACTCGGTTAGAGATTGTGACTACGGCATGCAGATGATGATCGTACCACGACCGCCCCGACGTGACTTTCGACTGGTGCAGCAGATAGAAGAAGGTCTGTCCAAGACTAAGTACGAGCCCCCGACGAAAACAAAGGAATGTGCGTACAGGCTTGCTCGCGAGCTGGCAGAGTCGCCTCGGGTGAGTCCACTGCAGATTCAGTGGATGCAGCACTTACTATACCCAATCTGCGGGCGAACGAGGCAGAAGGATCAATTACGTGTCCAAAGGTAATTAACTGTAGTGCGTACCTTCATGAGATATGCGATGGCGTTCAGCGCAGCCTGCTTGTAGGCCACAGTACTGAACACGTTATCGGTCTCAGTCAATGGCCTCAAGATAGCAAACTACGTACGCGTCCATGTTGTATTGTTTGCCATCTCCGTCTATATCCCGTTATTCCCAGTTTCGCTAAGAGAATTCAACACGTACGATAGTCTACGCTGATACCTTCGAAGATAAGCTAGCGAAAACAGACGAATCAGTATTTTGCGGTGTATCGTTATTTCTAGATGCACTTTTGATGAGTATAAGGGATCAATAGGCGACGGCTGGAGATGAAACCTTAGACTCGAACCTCAAAGTAGAGAAAATCGTGGCGACGTACAAGGAAAATGGGCTGCTTGAGAGCAAACTTCTCCACGCCCCCTTTGATGATGCTGGTGCTGAATGTGATGATACCCGCCTGCGGCCAATGCTCAGATGCGGGTATCCGCCAAATGAGGATTTAAGCTCTTACCATCTCAATTGCCCCGCAGAATGAGAGCTAACAGAAAGCTCGTGCATCAGCTGTTGCTGGTATAGCCATGGGAAACTACCTACTTCTCCCTGAATGATGTGTATATGTGAGCAAAGACACGAAAGTCAAGCACGAGGGACTTACGTCTCCTTGAGAGAAGTGCAGGTCTCCAACGGACAGGTTAGCACCTTTGATGAAGACCGGGAAGTAGCAGCGGGAGCCCCTATCATGGACGAGGCCGATGGGTGAGCACAGTTGAGCCGTGGCTGCTCTCGAACGTACCTCGACAAGTTCTTGATCTAAAACCCGAAACATGAAATCAATAACACTACTCTCCGAAAGCACTAATAAAACAACGATTTAATACTTACATCACAGTTCCCCCCATGTTCCCTCCCCGGCACCGTCCTCGCGCCCTCGCGGTAAATCTTCCGCCTCACCTCCTCGCCAATGCCGTCCTGCCCCACATATGCGCCCTTCTCAATCGGGCCGTACGCAACAGGCGGGACAGCGTCCGCGTGCGCAGCGATCAGGGCCCCTTCGCGCGCGTTCCACGTTGCGAGGAGCTCCGCCGAGGGCGCGGTGCCTATTAAACCGGGGTGGGAGACACCAGCGAAGCGCACGCCGGGGATGTGTCGGGATGTTGCGTAGACGCCTGTGGACAGTAGGTGAGGATGCCAGACGGCTCCGGTGATGAGAGAAAGTGCACACCTTTGAAGTCCCAGATTGCTTTGGCGGCTCTGCTGTTGAATTCACGGGCTGGGCGCGTTGTATTAGTACACGACGTTGGCCCAGAGAAAGACATATAGCTCACCAAAGAGGCCGCCTCCGTTCTCGAGCTCGAAGATACCCTTTTCATTGGATCATGTAAGCTGGCAACATGGAAAGCGGTGAAGTGCGTACGGTGTACCCCCACGGCATCTTGTCAAACGGTCGTACTAAGTGTTGTAAGAGACTGTCCAGACATCCGCTCTTCCCGTACGACGCGTAGCTCACCATCTAGAATATCGACAACCAGACAGTCTCCCGGCTCAGCGCCTTCGACGGCGATAGGACCAGACAAGTTGTGGATTTTGGTCAAGTCGACATTCTTGATGTCATCGCTGTCTGCAGTCGATATAAGAGGCTGCGTATGTGACAGAGGTATAGTGACTTACTATCGTTATTGCCAATCTGAGCACCAGTCCAGTCTGTACAAATGCATGGCGAGTCAACCTGGCTAGGCATCCACGCATTTCATTAGAGGTCTACTGACCGACGCATTGGATGTTGAAAACCTGAATGTATGCGTCAAGTCTGTGTTCACCAGAAGAGTCTTTATTATTTACCTCTCCGGGCTTGACGGTTGCAAAGGCGGGGATGTCGGGGCTGCGGCACAACAATAAATGCCTCTGCGAGGAATACTATGGCAAGGGACGTACTGCCAGCGATTGTGCAAACCCTGGTCAGGACAAGGTCAGAAAGTGCCTCAGTATGACACGCGATTCACCGCGTACCTTCTGCTGATCCGCAGGTCTTTCTTACAAAGTGAGGAAGGTTGATCATAGGCTACGGTTCGGCTTACATGAAAGGGTCAACCTAGATAGGGGGAGTTCAGACTGCGAGCAAATGAAGTGCAAGAGAGCATCTACTGACCTCGACCAGGGTAGGATGAGCGACTGAGTTTGCTCGAGTTGCCATTGGTCACTATGCGCAGGAATGGTCGGTCAGAGAAGGAAGAGAAGACACTGATAACGACACCGAAGGCTCCTGTCCTGGTTAATATGGAGCAGATAAGCCACCTACGCCACGGTCCGAACGCGCGCGAGGGACATGTGAGATAGACGGGCGTTTTTGTCCCTTAGCGCTGATGGAGATCTTAGAATAGAGACTAAGTCGGTAACATGACCAACAAAATGCCTCGCAGTTTGCTCAGTTCAATGGAGTGGGACATGGGCAGAGAAAGATATCCTGTGAATCGTTCTCACTGAACCTCAACCAGCAGGCAACACTGCATCAACGCCTTGGGAGGAATTCGCAGACTGCGTGTCATATTCATTCAACAACCCGAGACAACTGTCGACTGACAAGATAATAAGAGTAGCCCTTTGTGAATCTACATCATAACAAGGGCGACTGTTGATATAGCAGTCGCGCCAAGAACGGCGTAGCCGGTGCGGTGGGCATCCTTCAAGGAAAGGACTGCAAAGAACGAGAGGGGAAAGAGACATGAGCCCTCCGCGTGCATCCCACCTGTAAACCAAGGTGTACTCACACTTGCCCATGTCCCAGCTGAGATGACGGAGACCGTTCCATGAGTGGAAGGCAAACGGAGCGGCAAGCAGGGCCTTGCCGGCATACTTGAGGGACTCGGGAAGACTTGCGAGGGTCTCAACGACGTTGGCTGAGGCGAAGATGTCCGGAGAGACGAGGTAGGCGATGGAGTACGCGTACAGCACTGCGAAAACGTCAGACCTGGGCATCCGGAGGTGGATACATGCGGGCTGACTCACGTCCGGCGAGAGCGCCGCCAGTCACACGGTTGGCGATGGAGCCGAGCCAGGTGATCTGGGGCTGGTAGATGGTGAAGTGAGGGCTGGACGGGCGGCGAAGGCGCTGCCTGTTCAGGATCTCGACACCTGCAGCAGGAGGCAAGACCTGGGGCTTCGAAGAGTCGGTGGCAACACCACTGTAGGATGGAAGCAGTCAGCTCTGTCGGCTGGGCGATAAGCACAAAGGGTACTTACCGCGCAAGGACGACCGCACGAGCGCCTGCCTGGCTCCTTGCTGCAAAGACGTCATCGTCAGGAGGCCAAATGTCGAGAGCATGATGGTGCGAGCGTACCCAGTGCAGCTTTTCTGAGAGCGGGGCCGAGGCCAACAGCACGGGAGGACAACATGATGGACAGAGGCAAAGACGGAATGGCGGTTGTGACCGTCGCTGACGGCGATAGACGGAGTGCGACCGTGGGAATCTATGTGTTCCGCATTCACATGCCTGCATCCGCCCGCCGCGTTCCGGTCCTCCTTCCGTCCATCATCCAGCCACTCGTCGATGTCTTATCCGTCTGTTTATGTCCTGGAAGACTGCAACTACTAGCCCATGCTGAAGCTCTCATTATCCCTGGCTTGAGACTCTGCTCGAGCGCGGCACCCATTGGCCATCGCTGATCTGATCGTGATATCACTCTATTCGGGCGAGTATGCGAAGCGTCAAAAGTCATGCTCCATTACTACAGGTTGCAGGGTAATCCTCCGAGCGTCCTCCGTAATAATACAACAAATAAGGCGAAAAGTCGAAGTTATAATCTAACGTGCACAATGGATGCGAAAAACGAAGATGCATGCACTACAAAAAATGCCTCCCCCCTCTCAAAAGGATCCTACAACCCGCGTGGAGCGTGCGCGGCCACTGACTGGCGGCGACTCGAATCGTGAATAATATCTGCGGACGAACGCAAGGTGAGTGTCATTGATCGGCGACGAGCAAGAGAAAGAATGCTTACAATGTGATGATGTGGTCGTAACAGGTGAAGAAGGATGCGCGCGGACTCATGCGATGACGCAGTACGAGTTGCCGCCGCTGCCACCGTCGTCCTCGTTGACGGGCACCGAGACGATCTGCTCGTCCTCAGCCTTGGGTGCGGAGAAGATGTAGGACGTGAAGGAATCCATTGCTTGTTTTGGATTGGGTGGTGGTGGGGGGTGGATGAACGAAGAGGTAACGCTTCGGAGAGAAGACTCGAAGGTCTAGCAGTGATGAGCGGCTGCGAAGGGGCGAATGCGTTGAAGGCGTCGGTCCTGAGGGTGTTCCCTTCGAAACGCTCTCCTTTATATACTGGGACATTATGCGAAGGTGCGTCCACCATCTCGGTCCGCAAAGGGCAACTCAAGCTCCAAAGGCACCGAGGCTAATTGTCTCGGAGCAGGCCCGTCGCATAGACCACACTTCAAGACAATAAGAACGGCGCGAATGGGGTCTTGGATCGCCTGAGAGACAAGGTACGGTGAGTTGGACGAGGTGCCACTTTGAACAATAACCGCTTCCAAAAAAGGAAATCCGCCGGTCTCGCTCGCTGACCGTCCCTCCCTTGCGACCACACATCACGGTGAACCTTCCTTTTGTTCAACGTCTTACGATGTGATCAACCAGAGCTCGCCTCTCACTCGGAATCGCTATCACAATAGCGCATGAAGCCCCGTGTCACTACCCAAAACGTCCGTAGGTCCACTTTGTCTTCGGATCCTCGGTCTCGGGTCCTTCGGGACGGTGTCCCTCGTCATCGTCCGTCTCGTAATTTGACATCCATGCGGTGTACAAAGCCAAAATCATCGGCTAAGACTCCGTAATCTCGGGAAATGAATCCTCTTTTTGTTCATGTTTTTTCCGTATGCTGGCAGGGACGCCAACGATTGGCGTCCAGAACAGGCTTTCCGTCATCCGTCCGTCCGTCATTGGTTAGTCAGCGGGGCAGTGCTTGTCCGTCCTTTCGGCGTTCTCTTTCCCTGGTTCCTGGGCGAGACATACGTCTAAACTTATGGCGGGACCAAGTTGGCAGGTAGCTGACTTAGAGTTTCGAAGTGTACGTGTGAGTAGTGGGGCGCTGGCGACTTTCAGTACGGTAAACAATAGCGCTCCCTCTGGTCTCCATTGCACATCAAGATATAGCATGCCCGGTGGGCATCAGCATCGAGACTTATCTCGTCAGCTGGTAAGACCGACCTGTCTAGAGCGCGAATTGGGGGACAGTCGATATCACCTTTGGGAGTTCACTCACTGCGGCAGATATACACCTGTACCCAAGCAGGTCAGAAGCAAGGCCTATGTCATATGGACACTGAATACTGGTTCGTCAGCAATGAAGGGCGCTGGCGAACAATCGTCGGCGGTAAATTTAGAGGGTCGACATAACGTCCAAGACTGACCAACGTTGCTTGCCGTTCGGTGATCGTAACATTCGTTCATTGGACTGTGCCAGTCTGGGTCACTGCGTGCTCATCACGTCCTTGCTCACTTCGCGCGGTTATTGTTTTGCGCTAATCATGTCGGAAATGCCGGAACGAATAGGTCAGCTCGCGAGTTGTTGTCGCTATCCGTCGACAGATTAGCTCCTCACCGACACCTCTGCATACGAGACATCTTCTTCACACCCAGTTGATACCCCACGAGTGGCGGGTAGAAAATCAATCTAAATAGCAGTGATCTTATCCGAGATAAGGTAGTGACACTAGCACCCTGTCCAAAGTGCTCAGTGACCGATAGTCTCCGTAAATTCCAAAAACTATGGTAGGTAGCTAATCGAACCCTTGTAACTTTTGTTTAATGCCTACGATTAGGCAACAACCACGCGTCTAATTCATCACCGGTCAAGTTGTTGATGTGCCCACTTCTGTCCTATGCCGTTCTTTGTGCACCCTCAATATCCCGATAGAAGGAAATGAGCCCTGTGTAGTATTTTCGCTTTACCGTCGCTTGCTCAGCTTTTTTTTCCTCGTTGGCGTAGCCGCTACTCGGCGGGATGACATATACGCGCTCGCATGGTTTTACTTGATAGAATGGGTCAAATGATAATACTCGTGGCTTCCAGGGGGACCAATGTACGAGGGACAACGATATAGACAAATATAGATAATGAACTACTAGCGCGAGTGCTATACTATAGACGGTGCTCTCCTAGTCCTATATCGGCTGCCGAGGAATCGTCTGCTGCAAACCGCATTGTGTTCACCTCGGTACCATCGTATGTTCCGCCTTGGACACGATAGTCGTCATAACGTAGAATACTGAGGAACATTATTGGTCCTAACATACAGAAGGAGTACATCGATACAGCCGAGCCGATGGCAAGTTCAGTTGCGTTGTATTGCTGTGTGACCCTATCAGACTATTATTTTAACAGCATCGTCATGAGATGCTCACTGTGTCAGCCTTAAAATCACTTAGCGCGGAGCACAACTGACACGCCCATGCGATGGTTGCCCTATTTCATTCAACTTTGAGTGATTATGGAATCGATTAGAAACCGCTCTTGTACTCACATCAGAAAGTAAAAGGCGTGATTTCTAGCCAAGAAGTCCAGAAAGGTATTGAAACCCATTGTTTCTCCGCGTCGGCTCCTTAGCTGTCTTAGGAAGCGGTATAGTACCATGAGAAGCAATATGGCCTCGTAGCCGCAGATAGAGGCACCAAATGAAACTAACAACCAAATTGTAGTTGGTTGGAGGGCGTAACCACACATCAATGGCATCGGTGATACTGCATTAGAAAATGGTCAGTACATGGTGAATGGTGAGCATCGGATGGAACTTCTACCAAAGACAGACACCTTGGCCATGAGGTCGATGAATGAGGCAATATTAAGCGCCTGAGTGATCAGGAAACACACGACCACAAACGTGAACACTTTCTTGGACCTGCCGTACATTGCATGTACCCTCAAACCCATCATTGCTAAAATGACTAGAGATTGAGACAAATCTAGACTGATCAAAGTCGTTTCTACACACACCGTTCAGACCGAATATGATCAAAGATGGCATCACCCCTTGTCCCATTATGACCGAGGCCATACCTGTTCGCAGAATGACGATTTCATCGTGAGTGTTACCAGAAGCATCGAGGTCAGTGAAATATTTACATCTGGGGACATCATCAACGAGGACTCCGAGTTGTTTGAGAATATCAAGTTGAGTGTCATAGATCAGCGCTTACGTCTAAGGTTCGTTTGTAATCGCACGGAAAGCAGACCAGCTTCAGGTACCAACTCACATTGTAGGTCAATTTTAGCACGGTAACTTCAAAATACTAGTGAGAAAGTTGTTTAACCCCCGTGTGTATAGAGCTTACGAAGGTAGAAGCTAGGACTGATCGTGAAGAAACGGATAATTGCATAGAGGCTGAGATATACTTACACAGTTTCCATCATTCCCCCGTAAGTGAGCTATAAAAAGTAATCAGTATCAGGTTCACGTTTTATCAGTCAGCCATCGACGCACAAGAACATACAACAACTTTGACCACCTGGAATGACTACGTTCCTAATCGAAACACATTCCAGAACAATCGGGAGACCTTACATGCACCAATGCTTACCCATAAAAGGTCGACCTGGTTTGAGGCGTGTCAACCGTCTCGTTTTACATGACATTTACATGATTGCAAAACGTTACCTCGTCATCCAAGTTGAGAACTGCAATCAAAAGTTTTGTCACGATATTGTTTATCATGATAAGGAACGAATAAAAAATGTTGGAAACCCACAAATCCTGTAGATAACCAGGAACGAAAAGCCGCCTGGAAAATAGTTGTCGGGATTACATTTACAATCAAAGTAAGATTTACCAAAAGGTACTAACATGTCACGTAGTTTGCCACTTGAATACCCCAAGCTGCTTCCTCCATCTCTTGGGCCGACATAGATGCTACTCGTCTAGAGGAAGGTAAATGTGCTACATAGTGGAACAACCTGATTTTATGGCGAATAGTCATCGAGGCGGTATCCGATGATACCCGCAGTATCAGTCAAATGTAATCCTGTTCCGTGGAATCGGTATGAGCCAGTGCTATGAGCATCTCAAAGTGTGTGGCAAAAATATAGCGCGCTTCTAAAAATAATCAAGAATGTTCGCACTAACGCAGGCTTTTCACACTAGCTCTAGGTCTTATCATTTTCCAGAGTAAGCACTACACAGATTTTGCCAGAGTAACACTGAGAAGTGTGTGGCATATCGTGACGTTTGAGAAGGGTATTTCAAGTTGTACGGATAATCCAAGTAGCGGCGGATCGTATTGAGCTCGGATGGGCCCCGCCACCAGTGCACCAAGGCTGGACTACGTAAGGCTACAGGTCCCAGAAATAGATTAATCAGGCCCAATAGTAGCGTTTCTAGATTGCATGACGCTGCTTGCTAGGAACATGACGGGGAGGGTAACTGATCTTCCCACGCCTTCTCATCTTTTTTCCAACTGCCTCGCACCGTCCGCGTACAGTTGTTGCTAGGTAGCTTCCTTTGGACACTTCCATCTCTCAATGGCACTGCTCGAAATCCTTGTTTTAGGAGCTGGCTGGACAGGCGAGTTCCTGATCCCGCTTTTACAGGCACGGAAACTTGCATTCGAAGCAACCACAAGGGATGGCCACACTATCGCTGGCGCTGATACGATTGCCTGGGCATTCAACCCGGATGACAAGGAGCAGAAAGACATCTCAAAGCTTCCGTTAGCGAAGAACGTTGTCATCGTCTTTCCACTCAAAGGCGTCGGACAGAGCAAGCTCCTGATTGAGTCCTACTCTAAAGTCCATGGCGTGTCTCCCAGCGACGTCCACTTCATTCAGCTAGGTAGCACCGGCATCTGGGATCTACCTCGCGACAAGCTCTCAGATCCAGCATGGCCGTGGGTCACACGTCATTCACCGTTCAACACATCCAACGATCGCGCCATCGCTGAAGATGAGTTGCTCACCTACGGCGGGTGCGTGCTCAATCTTTCCGGGCTGTGGGGCGGAAAGCGAGACCCGAAGAACTGGGTTAGCCGGGGTACGGTCGGTGGGACGAAAGAGGCCGTGGAATCGAAGAAGAGCCTGCACTTGATTCATGGGGAGGACGTCGCGAGAGCGATCGTCGCTGTGACAAGCAACTGGGGGGCGGCGACGCGAGATGGAAAAGGTCGATGGATGCTTACGGATGGCTTCGTGTACGATTGGTGGTCCCTTTTTGCAGGATGGGCGGATTTGACAGGTGAAACAAGCTCTGGCGACAATGTCGATCGGTCACCTAGCCAGCAGGCGCAGTGGGTTTATGAGCTCATGCAGGAGCAAGGAGTGAGGGCATTGCCAAGGTCTATGGAGACGCTGGGAAGATGCTATGACACGCGGGAGTTCTGGAGCACTTTCCAGCTAGCACCTCTTAAGGCACGAGCTTAATCGTTCATCTTATGTACTTCTTATAGCTTACCGTATGCTTCGTCAAGAATATTGAACGACTATGTCTGATATCATGATTCTACTTATTTCTTTACTCGACATCCTATCGTACCTATCTCGTACAACTGGGTATCATACAAAATTATCACAGCTTTAGGCAATTTACGCCCCTTGTCTAACGTCTTGTCAAAGTAATACTTTGGCCACTTCCCTAGCGATCGCATTAGGTAGCGCAGACACGCCCCACAGGACTTTAGATGTCGCCTTCCCGGAGCCCCCGGGCCGTACATCCACTCGTAACTACGAGCCTTGTCCCTCTCTATACTCCTCAGCAGCAGGGATCACATCGCCCGCAGCTGCATCGGAGGTTGCACATTACCGACATCCTTTGAATTGGCAAGACTGATCGTGAGGCGCTACTCTCCCGAAGGGCAATGCTCTGAGCACGAGGACGCTCAAAACAGTGAGCGTTCTTGATAGCGGCGGTGCTGATATAGAACGTGGAGGTCACACACTGAGTATTCCGCGTGTGTAAACAAGGATTGGTTCTGTTGCGTAGGTAGAACACGGCGGACTTTGCTAAAGAAGATGAGCGAATCACTATGGCAGAATTCTTGACCCTCACAAGGTGGGTGATTAGACTGCGAGTTGGTTGGCGCCAAATAGAAGCGTAGGAACAGAGTGTCGGCTGACGCCGAACCAAGCAAAAAAGCTGATACTAGTAGCTACGTTTCCGTGTTGCTTGGATAGCCGAGCTTGTTAGACGTATGGGCCGGTTTAAATCACATACGTGCTGATTATCCCAATGTAACCACGAGCTCTATCATGGCCGACTTCGTGTGAGTCACGGCATTGTCTGGGCAGCTACATATATATTGAAGGAAAACGATATCTGCAGATTAGGTGATAGCACTGGTAATTTCTTTGGATGATGATCGACTTTGATTGTTGGGTCACCTGTCATCCTTGTAGGAAGGTTGCCAGCAACCATTCCTTGATCAATGTGGCGTTTCAAGTGACCGCCCTCCCAACTACAGTCAACTGTAGTTCAAAACAGCACCCGTTCTCATACAAAACACACGTATGGCCGGGGGAGTCTATTTGTACGAAATGCTATGAAATCCGGTTCCGTAACGCCTCAGCTACGGTGCCTTCATTTCTTTGATGCGTCATGGGGAACCCTGGACAAGTCCTTGAGAACTGGCAAGCTTTCTACACCCAATGAGACTCAGAGATTCTTTAATTAGGATGTCGAGTTCGTACTATCACTAAGTGCTACCACTAATGAAATGAAGATAGTGATTCTGTCGTCTTAAGTGATTGCTGTAAAATCGTGGGTGATCCTTCATTCCATACCGGTTCCATACTGTCACCTCATCTGGGCGCATGATTTTACGGGCTCGGGTGGTGCATGAAAAAGTGTTTATTATATTCCTTCAAAGTATTCAATTTCAACCGCCTTGATGTTGAGGCGATGCTATCCCATGAAAACTACACTCTCACATCATCGGATGCATCATATAATTGTATTCTTCGGTTGATGGAAAGCATCTGCATGGCTGTTCCGGGTTTCTGCATCTGATTCTGAGCACATGATGTGCGCATCAAGTATCTGTCGTACAGCCACGGAACTCTGCCACTGATGATTCCCGGCAACTACAATATAAGTTCAGTAAGGGACCTCCCATATTAGCAAACATTGTCACGATGCACTCGTCTCCTCCTTGCGGTAGTCGTAACAGCCACTCAGACCAAACCCTGATAACCAGATATCCTTCTACACCGGGATCTATATCATGGATTAATCATCAACTCGAAGATAAAGGTACGCGCTAGCAAGACTTACAATTACTCTGGAAGATAGCCGACTTTTAGTTCTTAAACTCTCAGATATTGCACAGCTCAACCCGAATCGCCGCCTCACTACACCTATATTTATAGAAAACACACAAGATCGTGAGTAGCCTGCAAGTGCTTGGAATGCAAGTGCCTTGTTCACATTGTCCTGTAGCTGGTATATACACGAGCGGTCGAGTGTCGAGCTTACTTGGTCTCTCTCTCGCATCCCTCCACCACCTTTCCCACTTTTTACACGTGCTATTGTTCGTTCTTCATTTAATTCTGCTTGGGGTGTTCAGTGGACACTTTGAACAACATTTTATGCTCTCTCTCACGTCGAATCACAACACGGCATCAACTATTCTCAGCGCGAGCCTGCAGGCCTTTTACACTGTAAGCTTTTAGCTTTTCCTGGTCCATCTCCCTTCGTCTGATCACCGGGAGGGTTTCAAGCTTTATAGCACAGTTCTCGTAACACTCACGCAACGCTTGGCTATCCTCGGAAGCCTTCATACCAAGCAAAATATAACAAGTCTTCACGATGTCTCAAGTGCCTGGAACGGACTTGGCATGGCGCTGGTCGGCCTGTGCAATCAGATCAGACTTCCGGCGTCCACAATCAGCACACTGACAATAGTGATGTACCTTCTCTCCGTGATGGTTCTTCACATATCTTCCTCCACGGTTTTGCAGTTTCAGTCCTTCAACAGAATAGTCAGCATAAAAACCACACAAGGGTGGCCGGATCCACAGACCTTGGGAAACATCAAGGATGCGCATTGGAGTACAATTGATTCAGTTGTGCCTGACTTGCTCGCCAGCAACGTCGGCTCGCTTTCGATCCCTCAGCTTGCGGTCAATACCCCTGGGCTATCCAATTCCACAATATACGATGTTGCTATCCAGCCAAACGAAGGTGTCGGAAACGCAACCGTCAATTCCACCACAATTTCATTTAACTGCGGACTCTTTCATTACAAGGACTTTGCACAAGATTATCCGCTACCACCTGCACCACGTCCGTACAACTTCCCTCACCGTTGTGACTGTCTGACGGATCAATCGTAATTCTATAGTTGTAGACACTGTGCTGCTCCAAATAGGACCAACACAAACTTCGAAAACGGTGTGTTTCAGCCAAGTTTCAGCTTGCTCTTTGAATCATTAGAACGGGTTTTGACCCATTGCCACTAGGTGGATGCACTGTATATGTTGTCCACAGACCTTGACATAACCGACGATTCATTGATCAATGAGTATCGAGTAGGGCTAAATTGGACATATTCCAATGGTTCTCTATTCCAAAACCAAGTAATTTGGGTTTACTTTGTCGAGTGTGCGATGACTACAGAGTCCTCCTCGGCTACAATTGATGTTACTACCAATGCACTCGTGTCGCCACCTTCCGTTTCCAGTCCTGCCGCGAAAGCATGGGGACCATTTCCATCTCCAGATACCAATACGTCTCCGGCATGGGTGAGAATCCTCTACTTCAACCTATAATTCTCATTACGCTCACACCCCAAACAGCTTACAGCTGCCTTGTTAAACTCGGAGCCAACTGGGGAATATGTTGTGAATGTATCGTACACATATGCCTCAGGGGTGTCGACACCAAACCAATGGTATGATGTCACTCACCTAGACTCGTACGTGACTAGCTCCTGGCTTCTTGATCCTTTCATAGTTTCTCCAAGGTACATGACGCAAGCTGTTGCCGGGCAAAGCCAATACAATGTTTCGGAAATAAATGCTTTGTATGGCCAATCATCTCCTTCAATCTTTCTCTCCGTGACGGAGCTGGAACGTGCTTTGTCGGACATGATTGCGGGGGTCGTCTGGATTGGCAAGCCCCACCTATTAATCTTGTAACTTCAAATTCTGATGGCCCCATGTAGCCGGACAAAGTCCGATTGGCTTCTCTCCTGAAGCGGGACAAGCCGAATGCACTGAGAATGCTCTACAGTGGAGACTCAATGTGAGTTTATCTGTGAACCATACGAATAAGGAATCTAGCTCAAGGATACTAACTGCTTTATCAAGATTAACATGACTCCTGTAGGTACTATTGATCTCTTTGCGTTTTCAGTTTACTTACCTTGCTTGAACAGCTTATTTTTGTCACCATTGCATCCTTTGTTATGATTGTGGCTGAGATAAAGATCACTGGTTTTCGTACTCAGAGAGATACGAGGCTGGGCGGGACGGGTATTCTGGACGTCCTGTGGCTTTCTGCACGGCTGCCCGCTTTAACAAGGTGCATGGAGCATGTCATGGAGCCCACAATCCACAGTCTCCGTACTGCAGGGATGCATGAAGTCTGCGTGGAAGAAGAGTTACCTTCCGGTGCCGGGTCCACCTCCCGCTAATATCAAAGGTCATATATTTCGCTACAAAGTAAACTCGGGCTCAGAGCTAAGGCTCCCAAGGACGATAATTTTTGGTTAATTCACAGAAGAATCTACGGACAATTTCTCCCTAGATAACATGAACGAGCGCGCACACGCGATAATTTTACATAGCGAATGACAGACAGTAACTACATTGATACTAGCAAAATAGCTGCAATGAGTTCCATTGACTATCCTCGCTTCACGTGGGCTTCGAGCTTGATCTGTTCTGAGAGCTTCTCTGCTACCGCGATTACGGCACCGGCCTACATACCAGCATCTCTTCAGTGTGATTAAGTTCATAGTGAACGTTAGGACGTACCGAGTGACCCGAAATGAGCTCAGGAAACACGCTTGCATCGCACACCCTCAAACCCTTCACCCCGTAAACATTCAGGTCTTTGTCAACTACACCGCCTTCATCAAGTGGCGCCATGCGGCACGTGCACGAGGGGTGATATAGCGTCTGGATGCGACCTCGAATAAACTGCTCGAGATCTTCGTTTGGTAGGGCGACAATATGGTGGTCGAACGTGCGATCTTGGCAGTCTGTGTCCGTCATCTCCGTCATCGGGGCTGTATGGGCAATCTTGTGCGTGAGGTGTGCAGTGCGAACGTGCACGTCGACGGCGTGTTTCGTCGCAAGGTAGCTAAGAATAAAGTTGGTCAGACATTTCGATATAACAAACGCTTCCAACACCGTACTTTGGGTCCATGAGTGGATTATCGAACGGGTCTGAACTTTTGAGCCGGATCGTGCCTCTGCTGGTTGGACGAAGGTTTGTGGCAACAATCATGTACCCATATGCGCCTCGCTTGATGTGAAACGTTTCATCTGTATTTACCAGAACGGGGAAGATGAGCAGCTCGATATCCAGGCTGTCCGGACCTGAATTTGCATCCTCGATCGAACTCTGCCACTCGGCTTTAGGGAAGAGTGACTGATCGTCCGAGCGAACGAATATCACTGCTTCGCCTCCCTGGGTTATGTCAATATCAGACATAGGTAAAGAATTGACAGCACTGACATTTGAAGCGAACGGTCCGGTGCCAAAAAGCTGATACCTCAACGCCGCCATGAAAAAGTTGGCGTACGTGGAAACATCGTAGGGTTCGCCAAAGTTGAAGGTGACCTTTTTCTTATCTGCAAACCGATGGTGAACCACTGTGTGGTCCGTAAGATGCATGCCAACTCCACGGAGGTCGTGAACTAAGGGAATGTTGTGCTCGGCAAGGTGCTCTGCGGCACCAATTCCGGAAAGCATAAGGATTTGTGGTGAGTGCACAGCGCCAGCTCTAATACGATGTGAGTCAATACAGGCACGATTGGCACGATTAAAAAGCGTGCTCACGATACGATGACTTCTTTGCGTGACTTGACTCTCCACTTCTTTCCGTTGGTCCCATCAGCTACTCGCACGAATTCGACGCCAGTTGCACAAGGCGTTCCATCAGCAACCCGTTCAAATAGGAGTTTGGTGACACGATGACGCGTTAAGACGCTTAGGTTGGGACGGGCGAGAACCTTGTCGGTGAGATAAGCCGTCTCCGTTGACACTCGCTCTGAGTGAGAATCAACGTATGTCACTAGAAGATCACGTAAGCTTTAGTTCATTCACAATAAATGCTTAGACACTAACAAATCTGAGCACACTCGTCAATAACAGCGAAAGTATTCATAGTTGCATACACACTTACCATATTGGTACCTTTCATGCTCGTCTCGAGACCAAAGTCACCGCTGAACGGTATGCCAACGTTCATGGCCGCCTTCACGAACAAGGGGCTCCCCGCGAAAGTGTACGAGTTGTATCCGATGCTCACAGGCCCGCCTTTCCCTCGATTAGATGCATTTATGTGCGGATAACTCGAGTTAGGTGTGAAGTCTTCAAACTTGCGGAAATACCTGTCCAAGCGTCAGAAATTGCATCAAGATGCAAGTTGGGTGTAGTGCACTTGTTAAAATTATTCCACGACCACGAGTCGTCGCCAATGATCCGAGCCCATTCATCAAAGTCGGACGGTGCACCGTATTGCGCCATTTGAGCATTGATGGAAGAGCCTACGCGTACGTCAGATTCACTGCCGCAATCAGAAGAATATACTGTAAACTTCGCACAACCGCCAAGTATGCGACCTAAAGTATTCATTTAAACAAGACATGCCTAGCTCCGCTACGGCCCAGGTATCGGAGGTGGGGGAAGTACTATTAGATAAGCAATGAGAATTCAGGGAGACACGGCATACAACCGCGACTCAGACGTTTAAGCGTTTAAGACCATGACCGACTTTGAACCCGTTGGCGGAGTTGACTCGGAGTCGCAATTGGTTTTCATAATATATGAGTCAGCGTCAAATGTAGCAGTGCTATGTTATTCAGCGGGAAGCGGCGGAAGGGGAGATACATCGTTGAGTCTTGACCGTTGCTACAACAAAAACTTGAACTTTTGCCCGTCAGCAGGACGATGCGACAAAAGCGACATGTACGAGCGCGGCCACCTCGCACTTGTCCCCAGATCAGCTTTGGTGTCAAGATAGGCCCCACAGTCCACGGAGAAGGAGATAATGGATCAGACAGTTCTGACGAATAATTACTGTAAATCCTTCGAGCGTGAACTAATAAATCAGCACACCTGATTGGAAACGGGCCATGAAGCTAATGTTAACGCTTGACGGATGGATGAAAACGGGGTGGAGAGCAAAAAGAGTGAACACAGCTCCGTCAATGTCACTGGTCTGCAGATTGAAATACACACCGAAGACGTACTATTGCACACACTCGATAGGTTGACCGGATCATGCACAGCCCATTACGTGCATCATAATCGTCCATTCTGATGCCCGAAACGCGGGCATATCAAGAAAGTCAGATGAATTGATAGCACCGAACAGTCAGCACAAAGCGCGGCATACCAGCCTACCAGCTTAGAGCTCGTCATGTCCGATCCTTGGCCTTTCGAAGCACGCGTTACTGCATGCTTAAGGCACTCAAACCGGAGGTACGGATGTCACATGGAGTCCAACAAAGCTTTTGGTCGTTGTGAAGCGTGCACGGTACGCAAAACTGTACCAATGAAAGAACTAACTGAGGTCAGATACATGGAGACACGACGTGTAACATGTGAGGCTGACAAAAGCTGTACCCGTGCTAATGCCATAGCACGCGTCTTCGGCATACGGAAAACAGGGTTATGAACCCTAGGAACGCACCTAAACAAAGATAGAGACCGCGTGAACATACTGCGCTGCTTCTATCAGAGTTGACATCGCCAACGCGATATGTTTGCCGCGATCAAGGACATCTCACCGTCTCGACCGCAGTTGCACATGATGTTAGCGGTGAAAACAGACACATGAAAAGGACTACTAACAGCAAGCGTTGAAGTCAGTGGAAGGCCAGCGAATGTGCCGCGACAACACCGGTACCTGTCAATGGAAATTAGGCACGAGAACACTGGCAGGAGTCGCCGATCATATATAGTATGTGATGTCACGCGTAGAGGGATACCCGAAACTGTTCGATTGCGGGACATCTCAACATCACACAGCCATAGAACATCAGCTAATATACGATCGTTCGATCCGTATCCATGTCACCAAACTGACAACTCACCTCAACCCGAAGCGATGGCAGGTTCCGAGTCGAACACCATCAACTGACTCAGATCCACGCGCTTCTGCCTGATAGCCGGAGCCGAGACAATTGTGAGCGCGAAGGTGACATACAATCGCAATTCAGAAGAGGGCTTCAGCACTCCGTGAAACTTTCAGGCGCGATGACTTACAGGGCCCATGCACAGACTGAAGAGCAGCGCGTGTGTATTGAACGGTCATGTAATGAAGTACTCGATGCGCACAAAACACATAATATATATCGGGACAATGACGGATCAGCCAAAGGAGCGTGCGACAACGTGTATGAACACAACCACGAGTAAGGATCGGGATAGTGGCGTATCTCGGCACTCACGGAGAGGCCAGGGGAATAAGGGAATGCCGCCTTATAGAAGTTGTAGAGGTGGTACGAGAGCCATCGGTGCGACGATCGCCCTCGCCGAGACAGAAGAGACCGACGGCGAGCACGACATGCGAGAGGGGAGGGGGTGAAAAAAAGGGAATGAAAGATGACGACCCTGAAACGAACAGATTAAATACACTCACAGACGCAGACGACCCATCCGACACGAAACAACATCCAGATCAGGAGGAATACGACAGTGACAGACTCGTGATGGTCCCAGTACGCGAAAGGAGTTAGATTCAAGATGGGCAGGAGCCCGATAAGGGCAGAAAGTAGGAGCCATGTGCAGAAGCCTAATAAGGGCAGAAGTAGGAGCCAAACAGGAGCAATGCCAAGCCTGAAGAAATATTGAAGATACGGGTAATAACGAGTCCCTTCAAGTAAAACACGGTCGGATATCTCACCTCTCGGCCAGAATATTTTGCGCCCCGCCGCATTTTCCTGGGGCTCGGTTAGAAGGTCGTAGTCATATTGACTATGCCAGAGTTTGGTAAAGGCAGAGGGAATCCTGGATTCTGGTACTCCTTTTCCACTAATGAAGGGTCGGTTCAAGAGTCCTGGGGAATGTCGCTCACAAGAAGATATCGCAGCTACCTTCCCCCATCTTCTATCAATAGGACGCGTAAGCTCGGGTCCTCAGAGAGACGGGCAGCGAGGACGCAGCCAGCGGTTCCTATTTAGCAAGAGATAGTCTGCGTCAACGAGAGCATACCCAGTAGACGAAGTCCTTATCTCCACCTACAATAACGAAGTCCCACTCGTCAAAGGTCCGACCATCTTCATCTGTCGGCCGTGCAATTGCGGTAGGATTTTCGAGAATCCTATTCTTGGGATTCTTGCCGGTCCATAGCTTGAGTGATTCTTGATCTGGTGGAAACAGGACCCGGCGAAGAGCGGCGAGAGTTGAGGACATATAGGAGTGCATCCTAGTGAGTGGTAAAAAGCGGCGGAGTGAGCGAGCCACTGATCGCTCCATAATACTTACCAGGATACAGCATGTATATATGAAGTGTCCGAGTCGGCCTCTGTACGTAAAAGTGTTAATTGGATGCGCCATGCATACTGCCCGACGCTCGGCTCAACTAACCCAGAATTCCTGGTGCCGAAGGCAAACCAGGTGTAAATCGACAATTCCTTCCTTTCTGGTAATCGACGTTTTTGACGGCCCGCTCTGCGGACCGTTCTTTCCGGTGGATTCTCCACTGCACGGCTGTTGCCGATTGTGGCTGTGATCATCGCTTCCACGACGCGCGAGCACGATGCGGTCAAGGATGCGGTCCAACATTGGTCCAAGATTCGTTCTTCTCGTTCTCTCGACAGCTCTCGACTCTTTCCGATACCTCACGTTCCGGAGCCCGAAATCTTCAGTATATATTCTGTAGATCTCCATCGAAAATATCGTGCTCCAGGACATCACGCCCTGGCTCGCCCACTGCCATTGTGGGCTGCGTTAGCTCCAACATGCTCTTGACGATACTCAGCAAGATGAAGTGCGTCCATGACAATCACTCAGTGCACGGCTGGATCCCGTATTGCGCTCAGCTATCCTGGAATTAGGCCATGCTGATCTAGTAGGAAATCTCTCTCCGGCAGGCCCCTGAACATATCACAACTCCGGAAAGCCATTGCGTTGACGGCAGCGGGTTAGTGCCAGCCCCGTTAAATAAGCTCAAGAAAGTGGGACCAGCTAAATATATTAAGTAGACAAGTCACTGCTAGGTATGTAGAAGTACATGTTTATTGTTTGCTTGTAGCGAGAATTCCCAGCTGTTTATTTCAATATGTTAGAATCCTCATATCTTGTAATCTTCTGTCCCTGGGTCTCAGACGGGCCTTGAGTATCGGGTCCTTCGGCCCCAGGGGTGCCCGCTAGGGCCTTGGCTATGCGACGAGGGTGGCTTGTCAAGGTCTCAATATAGTCCAACAGGGACGGTTTTCTGCCAAATTTTATGTTTGCATTGGAGGCGCGAGGTCTACCTGACCTTTCACTCTGCGAAGGTACGAGTGGATGTTCCCAACATAAATGCAGCTGATTCGACTAAGATGTAGTACCTCTCCCAAGATCTAGCAAGGACCCGGTCCTTCCCTGTCTTGGGGACCCTGCATCGTCTAAAGTTGACCAGCGTTAGAGGTGCACGCGTGTTCTGCTCGGGTTTCCCTGGATGATGGAGGTATTCTGTGGGTTCATTGGCCCGTGACACCCGGGGTCTCGTCAGCTGGCAAGCTAGGTTCAAGGGTACAGTAGTAGGAAGGTGACCGTAAAGTCGTTAACCAACCATGGAAGAGCACGCGCAGCTGTTTGACGGACGCAGTGTTTACACATATTTACTATTCCCTTTTGTGGGTAGTATTTGTTCCATCTTGGATATGTTCATGTTCCACCGTCGCAATCTCGGTTGTACTTTGCTTGCTTGCTAGTACCTGTAATCAGCCAGCCTAAAGTATTCTCCGCTCACTTTATCATATCGGCGGCCGCTATCTTCTAGTAAGCTGAAAGAAGCGACCATAATAAGTTATACTCAATATTGATCACTTGCGCTTTCAGATGTCGACGTCGGTTCTCACGACGGGCCAGCGTCCCCTCAAGCTCAAGGGATAGTGTTGGGTTCGCGCGGATGTGAGGTGTCTGCGCTTGTAAAGTTTTGCTTCACTTCTAGACTACTTTTATACTAGTCTTTCGTTTGTATGGGCTATTAGGAGTACTCTCCTCTACGGATTGCTAATATATTACTAGTCTCTTGGACTTGTCTGCTCGGATTGGCATCGGATCATGTTCAGGGGCTTCTATTTACTTTTTAGGAGCTTTTCTTAGTAATCGCTCCACACAGGAGCCTCATGCGCAGTTTCTACGCATGTCTGGGCAGTGCCCAGGTATCCGACGTCTCGGACATGTCGGGAGTGACATGATGTCTTTTATTCATCTCCCAACACTCCCCCTCAATCCGAGCCTAGTCCAAGTCCTTCGACATGTTGGTTATGTCTCGGTTTCGGGAGAGGTTTTGTGAGTATGTCCGCCGTCATGTCATTGGTAGGACAATACTTTGTTTTTATGTCTCCTTCTTTTACTCT